TAAGCCTCAGCAATTTGTGTTTTGCAAGAGCACTACCGTTTGAAGAAAATTTTAGAACTTCTACAAACTACGTAATACTCGTAAGTGTTTATTTCGCTTTCAGTACCACACTATATTTAGGTGTAATTCGTTATTAGAACCGCTTAAGGGTATCATAGTGTTATTGTGTAAAAAAGCACACTAAAGCAAGTAATCAAATAATTTTCAAAACGTTAGAACGTGATAGTGGCCTAAAGACAAAAGCAGACCGACGTGCAATAACCCGATGCACTTACTATGACACATTCGGCATACATGTACTTACGAACGGCTTGTGTTTATCTACACATGCAAGCTGATAACAAATAATCACACTATTTAGATATATTCACCCCCAACCGAGACCGGAATCACGGATAGTACAATGTGCACATGTTTGTCAGGCACATTTCGGCAACAACCTTAGTTCCTGACTGGAATAACTAAATTATTCATACAAAATACGTGCACTTGTAATTAAGCGTTTCCGCATTTGGACTATTGTTTTTTTGACCTTTGAGACTTTAAACTTTGAGTAGCTAATACCCAGGAAACATTGTCTAAAATAACATATACTTTTTTATGTAATTGTTATTTCATTTCATACTAGAACAACAAAGTCAAAGTCTAGAAAACTAACAGCAGGAGAGATGATATGCTAAAATTACTGTTAGGAACTGTATAGAGAAATACTGAGCTACCCAGTCTTTATGGAAACATTGGAGTTACATTACAATTTTACTAGAAATATCAAATTGCGTATTCGGAACAAATATTGTTGAAGAGGCCCAGATCAATACAAACTTCAATGTTCAAGCTAGTCACGTTGCCCTCCAAATTAATATATTATGATATTTCGAGCGGAAAATACTTGTATTATGTGAAGAAACATAAACATATTTTTATGTTGGAATTACCGACTATTTTCCGTTTTGCAGTACATTAAAAAAAATATTTTTAATTCTATAGTTCTTCACAAAATCATCTGTACTCTTTTAATATCCAGGATATCGAGAGGGTTCAACTAACATTTTGATCGCGTTTTTCTGTTCTAATTGACAGCACGTGCGTGGCTTCCGTTTGGCCACGTGTCCTATTGTGAATTATTAAAATATTCGTTCCACAACATAACTCCCAATGATATGCACGAAAAAAAACACAGGAACTACTTGACGTGGAAATAAAGGCAATTTACAGACGCATTCTTTCATCTAAGCCTTCGCGTTTATCTGGTACATTGAATTGAATCATTGCATGTCGGCGACGGTAGAAAGCTAATAAAACCTTTTCTGTGACGAAGCAGTAGGCCAGCCCTTATACTATACAATTAAGATTAGGTATGCCCTCTTGTCTCTAGGCGGGTTCTGGCATATAAGTAGTTAATTATCTGCCCATGCCCTCCGGTAACGACTTGACATCAGGTGTGGCCGTGAGCTCAATCAAGCATCTAAGCAATTAATAAAACAAATTAACGATAGAAAATATTGTGATTCAAATTAATTTTGATTAATTTATTATACTTCTTGCGGTCCCAACATATACGCAATGTATGTGTGCACCTTTTCAAACAAAGCTTGTTCGTTTGTTCAATTGCTGTTCACATAATTAAAAAGAAATCAACAAGGAACGTTTTGCAAGAAGAACCACTGAAGAGAGAATGACATTGCTGAGAAATTAGATGAAAGAGTTTTTAAAACGAAATGTTTTTTTTTTTTAATTTAAGAAGCTTAATTCTTTAATTCTACTACTATCTCCGTTTTGAAAAGTATTATAAAAGTATATAAATATTATAAAGCAGGAAAAACACTGCAAATTACTGAAAACGTATATTTGAAAAAATCGTAATTGACATAATATTGTAGTGCTGTTTCTGCCTCAAATTCACAAAATGGGTTTACTGGGTGTAAGAAAGCAATTCATAAGAATGAGGGGTTTACCTACAGCCTAAAAATGTGATATTAAATTTTGTACCTTTTTTTATTACTTTGGTGACTTAAAAACTAAAAAAGTATACGCCCGCCCGTGTTTCGCCGGTTATTTGTAGGATTCGTTTTGGAATACTTAGAACTTTAGCCGAGTTTTTATTGACATTCAATAAAAATGTTATAATATTCGATTTGGACTAGATAAAACTTTATCTAAGTTCTACTAATAATGCCGCCCTTAATAATGTAAAACGTATGGTACATTACATTTAATACGCATATTTCACCTTATCAACATCTGTACCCATCTCTGACTTCCTCACACTTTACTTAATAAACACGTCAAGTCCTCCGAAAATAGATGAACCACTCCACAGATGTCTTCCTGGTGTTTTTGTCGTCAGCAAAAACTAGTCGCGTTCCAACGTGGGAAATCTTCGAACGAAGTAAAAAATATGTCGCAGATGTTAGCGAATCCCGAGTATCACTTGTCGGTATGGCCACATGGAAGACAGTGCCTTTAATTTGCAGGACGCGTGCCACTTGCTACTATCCCAACGGTCTGTGAAATCGTCCTGCTGTTTTTATGATGTCGTGTGCAACGAAGGAGAACGCCCTTTTTAAATGCAATTAATAAACTTTGTACGCACACGTCGTGTTTAAAGTAATTTTGTTTTTATTTATGATGAACGTATGGTCTACTTAATAGATTTGGAAAACTAATAACACAGCCGGACAAACAAACCCCTTAATTCTACTGCGAAGCAGACATAGTTCGAAGTTACTTCGAACTCAATTCTGGAGGTAACAGTGTTCAAGTTGCGAGATCTACAATCTCGGATTACTACTTAACCCTAGGTGGTTCGTGAATTCATTTATCTGTTTATCTCTTTTTAAGTAATGAAAACGATATATTTTAATTGCTTTGAGCCTCCAAGCATACGGAGAGACTTTGCTACTCTACGCTATGCAGACGTTCTGATAATTTATTTGTAACAATGCGTCAATTTCCTTTTTACGATCGCATAACTCGTCAAATGCGGTTCTGAAATGAATTTCCCTATTCGATTGGGATTATTCTTCACACAAGGTTCGAAAGAAAATCGCGGCAATATGCAGCGTCATGTTTTTCCGATGTTCAAGAGCGACAACCACTCCTCAGCAAATTATGATCGACATCAACCCCACGAAAAGCACAGCGGTGCTCTTCAACCTTTTGAACTTTTGGTATTCGGAGGGCTAACCTAACCAACCACTTCAAACATCCCACTCCCGAATAGGCGCGTAAACACCTCCGCCATTCGCCTCATCACTATGTTCGACCAACCCATACCATGGGCCCTGAAGGTCAAGCCTCGTCACTCACTACTACAGAATTGGAATCGCGACCCGCTGAGAAGATCCGGCGAAAAACTCTGCGGGCTGGTGCATGGCTTAGGTTGCATGTCGGACTCTTTGCCGAGTTCAACGAGTACGGTTACCGGGGTCCCCAAGCCTACTCCTAGTGTTAGAGCTGAAGACGTCTAATGCAAGAGTTATTAGATCTGATGGATCCGTAAGGACGTGTCTAGGGCGGCGACGGTGACTTGCTCCTCCGTGATCAGGATTCGGGGAGTAGTCAGCGGCGGCAACGATAAGGCGATTATCATGATGCATAGCCTTATCAAAGCAACGTTCCGACACTGACTTCATGTGTTTGCGGATCAATTCGAGGCCCAGGTTGTCGTGTAGGTCAATGTTCCTCACGAACCACGGAGCCCCGACAGCTAGCATGCAAAAGCGGGATTGTTATGGATGCATCCAGGGTAACTCCCAGGTACTTGACCTTCCTGGCCCAGGGAATAGGATCATCCAAAGAGAGTGATCGAGGGTGGGAATAGGTTGGCCAAAGACGGTGATCGGGGTGAGTCCGGATCCTCCCGATCCACTAACGGTGCTTTTATGTACCCCAAGTACCAGGCATCGTTCTCGTCGAACCCGTCGCTTGCAACGAAGGGCTCGGCGAATAAATTAACCCACAGACACAGCCCACTGAGTTCGGTCGGGTCGCGTTTCCGATCCACTGGTAGATTCTGCGAAGCACTGCTCTTGCTAGGGCTTAGCAACGTCGTCAGGTTTGAGCACCATGAGCTCATTTACTTGTTAAGGTTACGCTAAAATAGTATCTCAACACCATCAGCTTAGGTAGGGAAAAAAACAAAAAAATTGCAATTATATAATCTATCAATTTTAAATTAGAAGTAATTTTTGGCTACTATTTTTTATGACCTTATTAAATACATTTAAAAAGAAAATCCCTTTTATTATGATCATTTTTTATTCGTGTGTAAATTATTACTTCTTACACAAGGAAAATTTACATAGATTTTCTATCGGTATATTCCGTGGCCGAAACATATTTAAATTACTATCTCAAACTAAACTAAACAAAAAATATTCATTAACTAGATATTCGAAATGTGATTATAAAAGATCCTCGTATCGTATTTCTTAAGACTTCAAAATAACATAAAGGCAATTGACAAGCCGTTGTAATTTGTCGAGACCATTGATTGACCTGGCGCATCAGTCAATTTTTTAAACGCTTTTATTAGCTTCAGACGTATGTATGTTGGCGTGTATATTAGTATGTAACGCAATCTTTAAATATGATTTTGACCCCCTTCAAAACGTCGATTTAACTCGAAATTTGGCATACTTATTAAGGACCGATGACAATACAATATTTAAAAAAAAATGAAATTCAACTAAAACATGAAAAATAAATAATATGTAGTTAAAAAAAAAACACTTTTATAGAAAATCCAACTAAAAAATTGAAAATAAATTTTAATAAATTTGAATTAAAAATAGTGTAAGAAAAAATGATTTTATTGTAAAAAAGCGTGAGGTGCTTTTCAGGATATTATCAAAATAACCCTTATACTCATATCTGTTCATAAAGTATTTATAACTACTGATACCATGCACCCCAGGCATTTTTTTTTTATAATAAATCATATTTTCTTACACTATTTTTTGTTCAAATTTATTAAAATTTATTTTCTATTTTTAGTTGGATTTTCTTTAATAGCGTATTTTTTTAGTTTTTTTAAACTATTACTTATTTATCTTACATTGCGTGCTACACACTGCCCTAGGAATAACAAACAGCAGCCTTGAAAAAGTATACATTTTATAACATGAGTGCTGTCACGATAGAACAGATAGAGTACCTATATAAATTCTAAAAGCATGACTATCGTGTAAGTTAATCTAATCGTCCTGAAAACATATTTCAAGTGGTTTATCAGAAAATAAACACAGTAGGTATTGTTATAAAAATTCATCTATTTGAGTGAGCTTGACTAGTAACTGATAGTGCTATATTGTATACATTAGTTACTTATATTTGAAACATGTTTTTTTTTATGTATTTTCAATAAAATACCAGTAATGACTATTTGAATGATAAAATAAGTGCGCGAACAAAGCTACGAAAAAAAATTTACGAAAATAATTATTTCGAATTTAAGCCCATATTTTAAGTAAAATTACAGTTCCATTTAAGAAAATCGTTGGTATTTTGTTACCTTACTACTCCTTTACATAGTTTTACGTAAATAAATTAGTGGAACGTCCATAACTATTATTATAGTTTTCAGAGATCTACTTTTTTCTATCTAAATATAAAGTTTTAATATAGAAGACAAAAAATCTAAACGTAAATAATATAATAGAGTAATAGCAATGTCACAATACTGGTCAATTATTACAAACGAAATTAATCAGCACACGCATATCTATCTAGGTTACGTAAACTAATTATTAATTTGTTTTGAGCATAACAAATGCTTCAAGTTAAATATGGACACTGCAAAAGGTCATCACCTTTTAGACGAGTACTTGTAAAATGAGACCATTTTGTTAAAAACAATTACCGAGAATTTTCCTTAAATCTCAACATTCAAATATCAATAACATCCTTTTCGGTCGTATTTCGTTTCTTGCCATATCTGAAGTACTCTTCTATTTGCAGTAAAGTTTTATCTTTCGTTTCCGGTAAACAGAAATATAAGAATAAGGTACCGAATGTTGTCGATAACCCATAAAACATATATGTCCCATGATGCCCTATACTTTCGAACATAGCCGGCGCAGTCTTTACTGTAGCAAAGAAAGATATTGAAGTCATCATTACACTAATACCAGACCCTATTCCCTTTGTTTCTGCGGCAAATACTTCTCCAACCATATTCCAGGGCAAAAGCGATATACCCATATTGGAGACTACAATATAAAATGCTATTAAGCTAAGCGATATGAACGGTGATATATGATGAATTATATTCTTATCAACAAGATACAAATAAGTGGCTAGGCCAAGTAGTGACAAAGACGTGAACACACCACTAAATAATGACATAGGTCGACGACCTGACCTTCTAAGTAAGATGCATGCAATAATTAATGACACACATCTTAAAACGTCTATACTTAACATCGCAGCGTAAGCGTGAGAATCTTTCGCGCGTTTACCCATAAGCTTTTTCATCATATCAGTGCTATAAGCACATATTACGTTTACTCCTGAAAGCTGAGTGATTGCGAAGAACGTAACCATGATGCACAAGGGTTTCCAGAATTCAGGTTTCTTGATATTTTCTTTTAGGGTCTCAAATTTGCTTTTCGATTTGTCTCTTTTTGATTGTTCTGCTAGCATTTTCTCAAGTTCTAGCTTCATGGCCGGGCTTGCACCCCTGAACCATTGGAAAGATGATATGCAGTCGTCAATCCTGTTGATTGAGGCAAGCCATGCGGGTGATTCCGGCGCGAAGAAAAGAATGATTCCAGCCGTGAGTGGGAATAGACCACAAAGCTGACAGGCATAACTCCAATGTAGGAAAGTTCCAAATAAGTGTGATAAAAAAACACCAACTGCGATTCCCAAAGATAGTGATGCTAAGAAAAACCCTCTATAAATCGGTGTAGTAATTTCCCCAACATAAACTGGCCCGAGGGGACCAAGCCAGCCTTGACATATGCCGGTTATAAATCTTCCAAAAAGAACTAAATGTAGGATATTGTTCGCAAATCCAATTATACACCACCCCAATAGGAAGAAGAGTGATACAAAGAGGAGGGAAATCCGTCGTCCAAATCTTTCCATTAAATATCCTGACATCAGGTTACCGAAGAACAAGGCCAAACAAGAGATAGCCGCTGAAAACAATGAGAAATGTATTGATAATTTTGTAAGTGCATGGAATCTTACTAATACTAACAATTATTTAATAAAAAAGCACATAGGAACAGGAACTAAGGAAAATATAAAATTATTAGTTTTGAAACTTATTAAAAAACAATTAACTAGTTAATCATCATTACTATCAATTTGCTTTACTTGTACAATTACTGATCTGTACGGTACATATTTTGGACTAACATGAGAAGGCCCTAGTAGCAGTGAAGCGTATTGGATTGAATTCAAATTAAAATTCAGAATTTTGATCTCATGTCTCTATTTCAAAATAAGAATGTTTTATTTATTAAAGCAGGTCTTCACAAGCACTTTTAAGTTGCCTTGACTTTACCACCGCCTTTAACGCAGTTTCACTGCTAAGAAGAATTTTGCACTAACACTTTTCAAAATATACTTTTCAAAAACTACTCGTTACATAATATAACAGGTCTGAAGATAAGAATGCGATTAGTGATTAGTATAGATCGCGGTAGCTATTTAATTCTTGATAGGTCATTAATTAATAATTAAATGTTTATTTATAGCAATAAAACCAATAGCAATGAAATAAAAATAAAACGCAATAAAATAATTGATCAATTATCTGGTCATCGAAAATATGTTATTAACCTTGAAAATTAGTTTACTATACCTACTGTAACCTCATTAAATACCATTATAATAATTTGTTTCGAGAAAATAATAGCATTTGCTTTCAAATTTTATAACAATTTAATAAATATAACATTAAATAATTTTCAAAATATGTAATCTATATATATATGAAAATGAATCTGAAGCTGTTCGTTATTCTCGCTAAAACTCGAGGACGGCTGGACCGATTTGGCTAATTTTGGTCTTAAATCATTTGTGGAAGTCCAGAGAAGGTATAAAAGGTAGTTGAATATGAAAATGCTCGGAATTAAATAAAAATAACAATTTTGTTTTTCCTTTGTTGTGTCCCCCGTCGGACGGATTCCTTTTGTTTGTTTTAAGTTTATTTTATACATAAGCTTAGGTCATTTAAGCCTGCCAGGTCAGCTAGTTCGTATTAAAAATTTCCGTTAAAATTTCAAACCTTTGTACACAAAAAATATACACGTACCTACCCATGACTCCAATTCGGTAGTGAATTTGTTCCTTCCTAAATCATTGGTCAGTTGTGGTATAAGGACGGCGGCTATCCCAGCCGTAGACCCGGCTGCAAGATTCAACATGAACACGCCCAAACAGATCAACGCCTGCAAAAAGAATGTTAAAATCTTCGTGAGTAATCAGAGTCACCTTGTATTTAATCTTTTGGGTTGGGATCAACGTCCTAAATATGAATTTATTTGGTGAATGGAATTCGTTTTAAATGATTAAATTTCAACTTTCGACAACAACAACAACAAATTTCGACATTAATTTTTTTAAAGTAAAAATCTACAAAAGTAGTACAGTACAATTCTGACTGAGCTCACGGTCATTGTTTCCTTTTAGCTCTTGTCTTTATCGATATTCGTATGAACAACGTTTTTCATCAGTCAAGCCGGTTCGTCTAGATTAACAGACAATACAAATCAACGATTTTAATTAATTCTATAATAAAGTATTAAATTCTGAATTAATAGACATATTTTTTAAATGTCAAATATTCTAGCCTGTTTAGGTGGGGTCGGCACATTTGTACAGAAATTATATATTTTTTTTGTGTATGTAGCAAAAATATGTGAACGAGTTAACAGCCCTCCTATCTGCTTAGTGCGAGTTTTTTTTTTAACGTTCTCTATAGCGTAACAGTTAACTCAATTTTGTATGGAGTTATACCAATATAAATACTCTGAGAGTGAAACGGCAAACTCTCCGATAAACCACTTTGTCGCCTGTACGAGTATAACATCCATGAGAAGAGATGAGCTGCTGCTATTCTAGGCCATTGAAACATTGGTTTGACTTCCATTATTCCGATAAATAGCTATACAAAATTAGGTATACTTATTACAATTGTTTTCTTCTAAAATATTGATATTGACTAATTCGATTATAAATTAAAGGGACGCTGAATTAATTAATACAACAACGTCTTATAAATGTTTCTGAAATTCTCTCTCAAAGTTCAGTTTCATAACTGATTTCATTCACATTCTTATTTTTTCACGCAGACATGTTATGTTTTTCTTTTCATTTATATGCTAAGCTATTTTGGTTTTTATCTTCATGACAGTAGGTAATAAAGTTAGATTAAAAAAAGCATTTGAATTAGAAGATAATTCATGTGTCAATAAAACGTGAATTCCAGCCGTTGCTTTACTGTTAATATGGCACTGAAATACTATAATACAAAGTAAAATATCAATTTAAAATAAATATCTCATTTGCTCTAACAAGATCTAATAAGAGCTAAGGTATTCTAAATTTATTTGCATTAAACACAACGTGAAGCGTTAGATGTTGCAGAATCCGACTCGACATAAACTTTAACACAACTACTGTTCTTGTTGGCTTTTGAAACATGCACAGTAAAGACATTAAAATAATTTTAAAATTATATTATATTTCCGCGATCTATGACCTACTAGGTCGATGTCCGGTGTTAATACTTAAGCGATTACAGCGTAGAGATTCTGCTGCAATAAAAAATTCGAAATAGTAATTCTTGTAGTTGCAAGAATTAGCTATGGCTTAGGTTATTGTTTGCTGTGTGTGACTTCCACGATGATAATAATAAAAGTTCTGTAAAATAAAACCATGAATTTGGATGCATAGTGAGTCCGCACGGGTAGAAACCACTATAGTGACTAATTCTGCGGCGAAGAAATTATATATTACAACTAGCTTTTGCCCGCGACTTTGTCCGCGAGAAATAGTTCACAAATAATGCTTTATTTTAGAACAAATTTGATTAGCATAAAAAATGTTATAGTGAACCAACCTTATCATATAGACATATGATGTCACGGACTTTTTTAGGTCTTTTAAAGGGGAACAGCTCTGTCATACATTATGCTAGCGAAACTTTAACCGTTTCTGCAGCGTACGCAGCGGAAGCTCTCAAAAGAGAAAAAAACCCCGATTTTGAAACATTCTTTATTGTTGCTGTGCTTGTATTAGTCTGAGCGTGATGTGATATTATGGCCTATAGCCTTTCTCAAGAAATGGGCTATCTAACACTGAAAGAATTTTTCAAATCGGACCAGTAGTTCCTGAGATTAGCGCGTTCAAACAAACAAACTCTTCAGCTTTATAATATTAGTATAGATTTGAAAGGAATAGAATAGCCGCTGAACCAATACAATCACCTTAATAGCGTGTGTGAAGGTGGATACCGCTATAAGGTTCTGATATCTGTGAACTACGCTAATAGCTAGAGCTATTACTAATTTCTTTACGAGCTGGCGAACTGATATTCTGTCTCTTCATTATGCCCTAAATGTTTTTTGGAAAAAAGGCTGGCTTATAGCAGGACCGATTTTTAATGTCGACAACCGCAACAACATACCGTCAGGTGGGCCAGTATAGTTGAAATAGAACAATATGTATTCGTGCGCCAACTGTCGTTTACTGATAGCAACATACCACAAACTATCTGCTTATAAACCGCATCAATTGTGTTAACTTGATCAGCTAAAAGACACACGAAAACAAAAAACGAATAAAGAAATAAACAAAGCCACAAGATTAATCATTTTGATGTAGACCAAAAATTCGAAAGTGAATTTTTATCGAACGAAACGTTACGACAAAAGGTTAGTTTCTATTAGATATACTAGAGAGCTTACAGCCTCACTGATGGTAAGCGATAACTACTATAAGCTGATACTTTAATGTGAACTTGTGTTCCTGTGAATTGGGTTTCAATAGCCCTAAAAAAAGGTTCGATGAACTTCAGGTAAGTGGCAAAAGTGAATCAGTTCTTGAAAATAAATACAAGGTTTTTTTTAAACCTGTTTACGATTTTCGTTTTAGTGAATGTCGCTTCAAGTGTTTTTAGGTTTTTTATTAATGAAGCATTACTTACTAAAATAACATTGAAATTGAGTTCCTCTTACAAACACTTGTATCTTTTATCTCGAGCGATTTATGCATGACAGCATATTCTAAATCACTTGAATTATTTCCTGATTCCCTACACTTATGTAATTTTTCACTCTGTTTTTTTAACACTCATCAATTGTTTCAGTGATCTTACAGGTGATGGTACAGGTTAAAAATAAACATAGGTATTCAACGACTGTCGATTTTCTGAAAAATTAATTTCGACCATATTTACAAAATGTTAAATAGTTTTCCATTTATGCCGTCATACTTGAGTAAAACAATCCAAGCTGGATATTATCTTTAACGTTGCACTAATACTGTTTTGAATATTTTTTTACAAACTATTCATTGCGACAACTAACTATATATTAAAATTTAATAACTATAAATTTGAAAACTACTGTATTAAATACATAAAAAAATTTCATTTGTTTTCGTAAATTTAAACAGCAGTTTGCAAGAAGAGCCGTATTATTCTTGCATGAATCAACATAATTATTTCACCTTGTGAATTATTCAATAAAATTCGATTAAAATAATATATTATTGATACCAACAATTTCCTAACAAAAGTTGTTATATTTTACACAAATTACCACAAACCTGTCTTTTAAATGGTGAACGTTCTGTCTTGTAGTAATCGTCTTTGTCGAAAAGAACAGGCTGTTCGCTTCCGTTCTTTTGGATTTTCTCCAACTCTGCCACAACACTGTCGTCCATCATTGACCGGTTAAATAAGACTGCCTGGCTTCTAGTCCGAAGATGAAGTTATGAACTCAATCGTGATATAGTATTATAGTTTATCTTATCATCGCACACGCCTACTGTCGACGACGTTTCGACAAAGTCTTTTGAATATCATAAACAACGGCATGATTTTGTTACCGACAACACTCAGACCGGTTCTGTGAATTTTAAGCCTACTAAAATCTAATAAATAACGTGCTGCGTGATCAACCGTGGTGTTAGTTTGGACAATTCCATTTTTATTTTATATTTAACGAGTAAAACCTGTTTTAATTAGACGCAAATGAATCCACAAGAAGCAGTCGTCCTTAAAAAGCCTAAAATATCTATAAATATCTAAAATATCTATTTAAATTACCTCTAAACTCCTATGAAATTGAAATATTCTACAAATATAAATTTAGATTTCTAAAGTTTTGAAATCATACCTAAATTTCTACAATATAATATATCTATTTCTTTCGTTGCCGTTAATGCGCATATTAATAATAATAATAATAATATAACTCTTCATTTAACACCACATGTACAGAGTAAGCATATAAAACAAATAATAGACGGTGACATAAATTGGCGGCCTTATCGCTGAAAGCGATCTCTTCTAGGCAACCTGACAGGGAGAGGAATAAGTAAACTGGATGGTGCAATATCTTAATAAACTTACATAAAAATATATACTTATATACACATGTGAAAAATAAATACAATATCAGATAGACTTACATACGATTAAATATAATGATTATGACATTTTAATTTTAAAAGGGCAGAAGTTTTGTAAAAAGACGTACAATAAATGTATTTATAAATAATGATGTGATGCTGAAGATTACTAAAACGTCTCAATTTATTTATCTAAACTTTATCGTGTTATCTATTATTCTTATGCAATAAAAACGACAAGCTATTTTCCGTAAGTCTTAATTTATGAAACTGGACAGCTTAATACGCAATTAGGTAAGTACGTCATTAAATTAGTTTTTCTAACTATGCCTTGATAGATAACTGCAATAAGGTTCATCTAATATATAAAATTCTCGCGTCACAATGTTCGTTCCCATACTCCTCCGAAACCGCTTGACCGATTCTCATGAAAATTTTTATGCATATTCAGTAAGCCTGAGAATCGGCTACTATCTATTTTTCATACCCCTAAGTGATTAGGGTTGTCCACCCCTAACATATTTTTTTTTTATTTGGAAATTTTTTTTTTGTTATAATGAGGTATTATGTGGTTGAATGAGGTTTTGTTATTTTTATTATATATTCCCTCATCGTTCACAGCACTACATACCTCTTTTACTCATTTACCACATCCTTACACACTTACAATAAGTTAGTTTTTTTTTCTACACTAGAAATACCCTAGAAATCTTATTTAAGGCAAAACAATGTTTGCCGGGTCAGCTAGTATTTTATAAACATATTTTATATTTTAATGAATCCTTTGATGCCCACTTAAATATGTGCGTTCAATACACTCTTTTGTTAGTGTGAATCGACGCTTTAATCTGTACTAGTTGTAAATAAAAACAAAAAATGAATTCAGAATTCAAATTAGAGCCGCAGTGAGAATGATAACGGTATAATATCTTATTATCTATTTTCCCATAGGTGGGAAGAAGACCACCATCATATCATTATCTCTCTGAGAACAAAATCAGCAATAGATAGTAAAAACTTGTAAATAAGTAATATTTCCCGATGGTAAAAAATTTTTTAATCACTCCATTCCAGAAACGCCTACGAAGTTGAATAGCAATACATAAATACCCCACAGTTGCTAAGTCTTAACATGATCGAATAAAGAATAGAAGATTGTTTTGATTCTAAAAAAGTCTGTGGTATATAACATCAATTACTACAAATAACTCATAGCTAGATAGATGTCTATAACACAAGCGAGCACTAGTTCCAGAAAGAGATGTTTCCTGATACGCGCCCTGTCAAGAATGATTGCCTTCTATATCAGGTCCTTGACCAGACGGACAGCAAAAGCTTCCCAAGTCATACTGATTACATCGCGTCATTCCAAGCGCTGTGACATGTCCCTCTTCAAACGAGGCTTGCGGAGAGAGGCTTCCTTGCTTGCTAGTAGTAAGCAGTGACTTGGCTCTGCCTCTAACATTGACGGACCGTGTGCTTGTCAGCCTATAAAGGCAATAACAAAGAAAAATTGAATTTATGTCTCATGGTAGAAGACGAAATTCACGTTGTAGTGTTTATCGGCACTTAACTCGGAAATCTAGGCATTAAGATTCCGCTATGCATAACCAATTTAATAACGCTACTCGGTTCTTACTGAAACAAATAAACACTTTGATACACACATTCTCCCGTTAGAGCGCAGCTAAAATAGCCCTCTAGGCTACCAGCAAATAAGTAGGGAGAAGAAAAAAAACACGTTCTACTAGCCAGATGTTTAATATTTTAATAAAGATCTTATACAATTCGACCTCAATAAACAAACACACACAAACGCAAAAAGCTATCGGCTAATTAACAAACAATGACTTAACCCAATTTTATATGTGTGCTGTCGGAAATGATTTTTCATTGTTTAATGTTTATGTAAATGCAACTTCACAGGTAATCACCGATTGTTAAACTTAAAAAATATCCAGAAAATACAAATACAATTTTATCTGATATATTTTTAAGTTGAAGCAATTTATAATTTTGTCCTGTTGCTATCACTTTCTGTTCCGTACAAATTTAACTAGAGAGTCTCTTTAACGTTAACAAAGTCTTGCATTTTTTTAATTAACTTACACTCCCTGAAGAAAGCTTTGAATGCAATTAACACTGATCCCACTAACAAGACCCTTATGGTGTGTAGTTTTGTTGTGGACAGGCTAAGTAACTCCCGACCCACTTTTAAGGTGCTACAGGATCTTATAATTAGTCGTCTCAACGTGAATTCCGTCGCTCACGATTATTAGACGTGATGTAAAATAAATTATAGTGAAACCGAAACACATGACTACATACTTGGCACCAATACCGTCTTTACCATAAGGGCACACGGGGCCCGTGCCCAGGGCCTCCATTCTCAGGGGGCCTCGAAAAACCGACAATTTGTTTACCAATTGTAGTCGAGAGCGGTCATTTTCGCAGCTTAAGAGAATAAAAAATGAATTGCGAACAACAATGTTACAAGAACGGCTGAGTAATTTGTCAATTATGAGCATAGAAAGTGATATCCTTCAAAAATTTACTTTAAAGATATAATGGAATATTTTGCTCAACAGAAATCTCGAAAGAAACCATTATTATAATCGTAACCAAAAAACCAGCAGCATTCTAATATAATTATTATTATTATATCATACTGTATTTGGTTACCTATAATAAATGGTCATACTCAGTAAAAAAATGTTATTGTAATTCCCTTTTTTTACTTTCCAAAAGGGCCTCAAATTCTTGTGTGCCCAAGGGCCCCAGCCTAGTTTAAGACGTCCCTGCTTCGCACTACCCAACTTGTAAACGCCGCGGTGGTACACAGTCCGTTGATGAATAAAAAATTGGGTATCCACGTGATACTAATTAATTATGACCTTATTAAATGAAAAAGTTAAAAAATACTAGCACATTCCTCGTTTAAACAAATCAGTGTGTCTTTTCTTAATTTTGTACATAATTAAAAAGTAAAACAGAGTTTTATAGACAAAGGTTGAATTGAAAATGAAAATGAGAATAATTTTTCACATCTAAACGCTTTTTTAAAATTTGAATTGGGTCATTTCTCAATGCAATGCAAATTCAAACTTCTTTGTAACTATGATGAAAAAACTGTTTACAATTCAACTAACAGCTACAATAAAGTCAACTGTAAAAAATATCTTATGCACGAGAACCTTACTTATTACACAGGTCAGAATTTCAGGTTAATTTTAAGCATAAATAGCAGAACCGTGAAATCTTTTGGCGATTGTCTGTAAAGTAATGAAGGTGAATGTTTCGAACCCAGAACTAAATATCTGATTAAATAGTATCTGCGATTGTTCTGAATAACTAGCGTCTAAAGATTTAAATGTAAGTAGAATATTTATAATAATTACCTCAGTAACACTGAAACGAATAAAGGAATTCTTAAAGGGGAAGAACAGAAGATTCCCTTTTGTTTTTCTCGACTTCATCAAAAAGTCTGACTTGAGAAATATTCCTCCATCATAGTTAGATCATACAAAAATAGGCAATTATAAATATAAAAAAAATAATCTTAACCTTTATATTTTTAACTTAATTCCTTTTTTATCACGTTAACCTGACAAAATAGATCAAATACTTGGACTAAATACATAGTCATATGATTAGGTCACTAGGATTATAATTAATTAAAATGTTAATATTGATCCGCGGCTTAGATAATAATGTTCCCTTAGTGTGTTATGAATGTCAGATATAATGGAAAAGGTGGTTCATTTTATGGTAAGAAAAGAACATCTATAATTATCAGCAATGCCAAAAGTACAAGCAGACTGCCTTCTGTTTTTGCTGACTGAGCAATAATAAGCTCAACAAGCACTCATGACCGTCTATTCGAAGACATAATCAAGATTAGTACTGTTTTAAGGCTATGTTCTTAATTCATTGGTTTCAGCAACATGTCTTCACTGCTTAATTACAATTTTGAGTTTGATGTTCCACCAATATTCCACACCTTGCTGCTTGCAATCATGATAATGTGGATGTTACACCGGTGGCAACAATCTTCTAGGCTGTTTCGATTGGGAAATAAACTCCCTGGACCAATGGCTTTACCTTTAGTGGGTAATTCGCTACTGATTTTAGGGAAAAAAGCTGAAGGTTGGCAATTTTTCCATTATTTTTTAGCGATTAAGCTATTTTTTAATCATAGTTACTTATTAAAGTTGGAATAAAAGAAAAAGATTTTGTACCAATTATTTACTTTCATTATTCAACTTATTTTTACTTGGTATAACGGGAGAACGTAATTTTGTACTCCTTGCTATAACTATTAAAAAAAAAAATTTTTTTTTTTATTGCTTATGGTTGGGCGAGCTCACAGCCCACCTGGTGTTAAGTGTTTATTGGAGCCCCTAGAAATCTACAATGTAAGTGCGCCACCCACCTTGTGATATAAGTTGTAAGGTCTCAAGTATAGTTACAACGGCTGCCCTACCCTTCAAACCGAAACGCATTACTGCTTCACAACAGAAATAGGCAGGGTGGGTAGGTACCTTCCCGTGCGGACTCACAAGAGGTCCTACCACCAGTAACAGCAGAACAAGTGTTGCAAGTGTACATATATAACTTTGAATAAGTTTTATTTTTACAGATTTAGTAAAATATGCTCTGGATTACTCTGAAAAATATGGAACTGTTGTGCGTGCCTGGGCTGGCCCAAAGCTCGTCGTGTTTCTAACAGACGCTAACGATGTCGAAGTAATTCTTAACAGTCAAATTCACATCGACAAGTCTCCCGAATATAGATTTTTCAAACCATGGCTTGGAGAAGGATTACTTATCAGTTCAGGTCTATTCTATTACACTTAAGTTTAAATTGCTATAATTTAAATAAAACACAAATTCCCACAAGATGTTCAGAACCTACATATACATAGGTTTAAGAAAACTATTAAAGAACATCTGTGCAATAAAGCTTACTATAAAGTCAATGATTATCTAGAAGATTGCACAAAGTGGGAATGAGTTGCTCGCTCCGGGCAGTTCAATATTGTAATAATTGTTATGTTATTATACTCATGTAAAAATTAATATTAAAAAAAAAATCTAATATTAAAAAAATAACCTAATATAAAAAAAAAAACATGCCCGCTGAGTTTCTTGCCAATTCTTCTCAGGACGGAAGCTAGTTCTTGTGAATTGGTGGTAGTTCTTTTGACGTTCAACAAGTATGTACTTTCTATGTTACTATGTTGAATAATTTTTTTTTTATTTGATTTGATTTGATATGTCTAGAACGCTGGAGGAGTACAACGCCATCTATTGTCAGATAGCGGAAACACACAATACTAGACTTTTGTGGCATATTCTCGACGATTCTAGCGATTTCGTCTCGATTATAAGAGTGTTGCAGAGATGCCACGCAACTGCGTTGCGCAAACTAACTAGTTTGCAATCGGAACTACTCGAAGCGAAACAGCGAACGGATCACCTGATACGAACCGGAAGAAGCGAATTGAGAGTTTTAAAGTGTTTGTTGAGTGTTTTAAGCATTCTAAGTGTTGGTTACAACGTTAATTTGTAATTCGGTAGAATTTTTATTTATCCTGAACCCCAGCGCGTAACAATATTTCCTTCTAAAATTGGTATCTGCATGCGGTGTTTAAGCCCTGGAATAATTGCATTTCTCGGTCTGAATATACCAGGCAACTTATTGATCTTTCAATATTTTCACCTAAATAATAATTAAAGCCTCAAATAGGCGTGATAATGTAAATCCCGTGTTACTTATTGGTCAAAACTTCAATTTGAGACGCAAAAACATAACCTGTATCACGGATATCGTTCTTTGAATTAACTTTTATATCATTCCAGGTGAAAAGTGGCGTTCACATCGAAAAATGATCGCTCCGACATTCCATATAAATATTTTGAAATCGTTCATGGGAGTTTTCAATGAGAACAGCAAGAGCGTTGTTAAAAAATTACGTTCTGAAGTTGGAAAAACATTTGACGTTCACGATTACATGAGCTGTGTGACAGTCGATATCCTACTAGGTACAATTTATCTTACTTTTATACATGTTTTCATTATTTTTAACTAAAATATTTCACACACTGCTGACATCTGTTTTGTCAAGGTCATTCATTGCCAAGCGATAGCTCACATAAAGGTTAATATTAATCCTTTTGAATGCTGGTATACGTCTTATTAAATCCGATTAATTATTCCGATAATATATGGCTAGTTTACTTCTTAACCTTGTTCAAAAGAACTCAAAAATCTGTTAAATTTTATAAACCGACTAGGAAAATTATTTTGTATTTAAGGAAAGTTTATTTCCCAATTGTTCCCATAGATATTTCCTTCCAAATCGGTCTAATAAATTGTTTTGTATTTCAACTAAACGGATCTGCAAAAGTAACTTTTAAAATATTTTTTCTTTCAGAGACAGCAATGGGAATAACAAAAACGACGCAGGATGCTGCGAGTTTTGACTATGCTATGGCCGTAATGAAGTAATTATAACAAACCTTTGAATTCAATAAATGAATATTTTCTTCGTACTTTGCGAGTCGTAGGCATAATTAAAATTACCTTTACGGCTTAATCTGGGATTATTATTACTGACGTTTTACGCTTTTCGTGCTCACGGACAGCTAGTGTTATTCGTTGATATTTGAATGTACTTCGTATAGCGTCAAGTTGTATATGCAATTTAACTATAGTTAAAGAAACATTTGATTAATATCTTATTTTTTAAAATGCAGTAAGATTAAATTTTAGAAGTTTTTGAACGGTTTTAGGTATATGCATATAGTTAATTTAGATAACACGTAGCCTACCTAACGTTAATCGGTTACCCATGATTTGAAAAACAATATCCTAAATAATCGTCATTATCATTCCACTGACGTCCCACTGCTGGACATAAGTTTTCCCACAATGACCGCTTCTGCGCAGCCCGCAAAAACGGGTTCCCATGACCTATATAAGAGGCCGTCAGCGCAAAAGTGGCATAAGCTTACTAAGTTAGTATGGAGATAATGATGTTCGAATTTACTTTTAAACTGCTTCGTAGGCAAAAAAATATGCGCTAAAATTATGTTTACAAAGGGATCTGTTATGTACGGATGAAACTAGCGATAGGCCGATTTCGCATCAAAATTTATTATGTTTTAAATAAATTGCAATACATAAGCACGAATATGAATTGTAGGTTAGGCCACTTTTGCGCTGACTGCTTCATACAGCAGGTTGTTGGTTCACGCTTGGCCTACGCATGCTGCGTCTTAAAATACGCAGTCTCCACCCTAGAACTTTACGAAGAGATACTAGATGCTGAATCAGAAATTGCATAATTTACAAATCTTGTTCTATTTTATTATGTTTCTTTGCTTTTTTTAGAATGTGCAATATAATTCATCAGAGGCACTACAAAGTTTGGTTACGTTTTGATGCCATATTCAAATTGACTTCACTTTTCAAAAAACAGAGGGAGCTTTTGAAAACAATTCATGGTTTAACAATTAAGGTAATGTTTAACAATTTCTAACAAAATTATGAATTTAATGCATTTTATTCAGATTTTCTATTTCAATGAGCTTGCTGCTGATAAGGTGCTAAAAAACATTTAATGATGGAATAGAATTAATTTGCGAGTTACAGAACAATAGAATTATATCGAGAGCTCTGACTCCGCAGGTCATTAATAGTGAAATGGTTAGTTAGTGTATGTTAGTTAGTTAATGTTTGGATGTATCGCATAATTGCAATTGAAATTCTAAATTTTATTGACCCTGATTGACTCTCGCGCTATCGCATTTAGAAAGAGGTGACGGCGGCGACCTAAAAAAGTCTGTTTACATTAGATTATCACATGAAGTTAATTAAACTGAAACAAAATTTTAAATGTTCGCGTTTCTAAATATCCAGGTTATAAAAAAAAAGAAATTCATGTACCTACAAAACAAAGAAAAAGGTATAATTCCACCAACANTTTATTGACACTGATTGACTCTCGCGCTATCGCATTTAGAAAGAGGTGACGGCGGCGACCTAAAAAAGTCTGTTTACATTAGATTATCACATGAAGTTAATTAAACTGAAACAAAATTTTAAATGTTCGCGTTTCTAAATATCCAGGTTATAAAAAAAAAGAAATTCATGTACCTACAAAACAAAGAAAAAGGTATAATTCCACCAACAATAGAAGAACTGACTAAAATAAAAGATACAAATGACAGCGTAATGGAAGATTCTGCTAAAACACTTTCCGATACAGTTTTTAAGGGCTATCGTGATGATTTGGATTTTAATGACGAACAAGATGTTGGTAAGTTATTAGATAGAAATAACTTCTAGTAAAAATCAATATTGGAGCCCTTTGCAATCTCTGAATACACTGAATACTAAATACAATAGCCCTGTTGTTTCTTCACTAGATACTAGAATCATATTTTACGTAATGTCAGTTAGGCTACCGAAATCCATTTTCATGATAGTACTTTCTTTGAATCCAAGCATATTATTATATGCAATACAGAGACAATTGCCATTGGCCGTGCACATTTGAGTTCAAATTTTGTCCTCCAAGTTTTGTACGCATTTATTGCCGGTTCATAGAACATGGAAATTAGTAAAAGGATAACCATTTGTTTTATATTTATGTCTATTTTAATGATTTAACTTCTCTACCTTAGCAGTTATTGATTTAATGAATATATAATTATCTTTATATTCAAAGGTGAAAAGAAGCGTCTCGCTTTCTTAGACTTGATGATTGAATCTGCACAAAACCAGACATGTATTATCAGCGACCACGAAATCAAAGAGGAAGTTGACACTATTATGTTTGAGGTAAAGGAATATGTAATAAAATATCTTTTTAGAATATGGAGTAAACTATGGAACTATAATCGTCTTATACAATATATGAGATTTTTGTCTGCCTTATTTAGCTTAGTGAATTAAAAACTTTATTAATTTAATTGTATAGTGTAAGCTGACCTCAAAGTTGAACTTAACAATATCATTATTAATAATGCAATGTATGTACTCTATTCTATTATAAAGGGACATGACACCACAGCAGCTGGATCAAGCTTTGTCCTCTGTTTGTTGGGTATTCATCAAGAAATTCAGAGTAAAGTATATGATGAATTATTTGAAATCTTCGGAGATTCTGACAGACTGGTGACATTTGCTGACACGCTCCAAATGAAGTACTTAGAGAGGGTAATTCTGGAGTCTCTGAGATTGTATCCACCAGTGCCGGCTATAGCAAGGAAGCTGACGCGAGATGTCCAGATCGGTAAGCTTCAAATGTTTACAAAATATGGTGTCCATACATATTAGTTTTGTAGAATCTGCATGCTCAGTGTATCAGAGCTGTGCCTAAAACACCAAGCGAAACAGAGAAAATCTATGATTGTTCATTTACTTCCAATACCTTTACAACAACTATAAATTTTCAATTGAAGTCTTATCTGAGATTTCTTCAACTGATTCAGTTAAAGATCTGAAAAATTCATAGAAATATTTTAAATTGAATTTAACATCTAGCACCGTTGCCATCACAATTGTTTTTGAATAATTTATTGAAAAAGAAATAACAAANAGAAACGACTGGCATTTTTGGACCTGATGATCGAATCTTCACAAAATGGAACAAACAAGATATCTGATCATGAAATTAAGGAAGAAGTAGATACAATTATGTTTGAGGTAAATTCACATTTTAAAGCAACATTTAACGAAAGCTATTGAACATAAATATATTGGGAAACGTCTTCATATTCTTAACTATGACAGACAACAAGCGATTTTCATAACCTGAGGTTGAAACTGCTATTTGCTTTGAGATATAAAATTAAAAGCTTAATTGCATTTGAACAAAATTGATACCGGATAATGACCGCCCCAATGGGCATTGTCAATTACAAGAATTCCCCATGTAGCTACTGGTTTCGTGAAGGAACATTTAAAGTGGCACTTGTATCACGTATCTGTTAATTATATTACAATTGTAGTCAAAAATATTCTCTATAACTATTTAACAAAACCCACACTTTTTAATACTATATCTTTTTTTTCTTGTTTTCCTACCTATGCTGATAGCCTTGAGAAGCTATTTCAGCTTCTCTTTGACGTGTAGGTGAACTCATGGGGCTCAAACCGGAGTGTTGCTAACACTGGCCCTAGCAATCTACCACCGGATCGGAAACGCGACCCACTGAGAAGATCCGGCGAGAAACTCAGTGGGCTATACTTTATCGAAATACAATCTCTGTGAGAAATTTAAAAACGTGCAAAACATTTTGTTTGTCAAACTAAAATGAACCATTATTTTTGTTCATAGCAGTTAGCGTAATGAGTTCATTATTGTGTATTTATTATTTTTGACAACAAAACAAGAGTTGTCGCTCATGATATCATTTCTCAGGGTCACGATACGACGGCAGCTGGTTCCAGTTTCGTTTTATGTCTTTTGGGCATCCATCAAGACGTTCAAGCGAGAGTTTATGACGAGCTTTACCAGATTTTTGGAGATTCCGATAGACCTGCAACATTCGCCGACACCTTAGAAATGAAATATTTGGAAAGAGTGATTCTTGAATCTTTGAGGCTGTATCCACCAGTGCCTGTCATTGCAAGGAAATTAAATCGTGATGTTACTATCTGTGAGTAATTTAACCTTTATTGTAGCTTTATTAAACACATGCACCGAAACGTACTAATAGCCCCTGAGCTGACCCCTACGCTAACGCGTTTGTATCGCCTCTTGTATAGTACTAACAGAGTTCTGTCTTCATGAAAGACTGCCCATTACCTTCCTTAAGAAGGGTGACCGGTCGGACCCATCGAGTAATAGCCCTATCGCGATAACTTCCTTGCTTTCAAAAATGTTGAAGCGAATAATAAATTCGCAGCTCCTGAAATATCTTGAGGATCGCCAGTAGATCAGTGACCGACAGTAAGGTTTCGGTTACGGTCGCTCAGCTGGCGATCTTCTTGTATACCTAGGTGGGCTGTAAGCCTTTATATAGCGATAGCCTTCGACGGGGTCTGGCATAGGGTACTCCTATTTAAGTTACCATCTTACAGAGTCCCCGAGAGACTCTGCAAATGGAAAGCTAGCTGTTTGGATGAGCTCAATGCTCTCGGATATATCGTCTATCAGAATCTCTCTCGGACCGTGGTGCAAGAGAGACGATCAAAACTTGTGTCTGAACTGGAGAATTCTCTAGGGTAAATTGAATTCGGTTCAATTTAACCCGCTGAAGACACAAGATTGCGTGTTTACTGCAAAGAAGGAACCCTTTTTTATGGTGCCACAATTCCAAGTAGTATCCCAGCAACCTTCCAACAGTATTGGGATACATGGAGTCGAATTTCGAGCGATGTACGATTTCGGAGTAATTTGGAGGGCAAAGCCAAACTGGCGTCAAAAATGCAAGGAGTCCTCAACAGAGCGAAGCGGTACTTCACGCATGGACAAAACATTTAAAGCTAGTATTTGGTCTTAGTCGTATGAGAAACGTTTAAGAAAAAAAAAACTCGCTCTTTAAATTAGAAAGAAATGTTATAATAACATATATCAAATCATTAATTATCTTTATCCTTTTAATTGTCTGTCTAGTAAATATACAAACTGGTTCTAAATAAAAAATTACATTTTACTAGTATTTCTGTCTGTAAATTATACTTTGATATTTAGATTTTTTTTTACTACCATCTATGATTTGAGCTCGAAACTGACCAGATAAGTGATATTATAAGTTGCCTTAGGAAGCAACAATTATCTTGCTTTAATACTTTTTGAGATTCAGAGGGAAATTTGTTTTAGCTACCAAGAACTACGTGATCCCAGCGGGTACAACTGTTGTCATTGGAACGCTCATGTTGCATCGTCAACCGAAATATTACAAAGATCCCGAAGTTTTCAACCCCGATAATTTCCTACCGGAAAACACTCAGAACAGACATTATTACAGCTATATACCATTCAGCGCTGGACCTAGGAGTTGTGTTGGTGAGTATCTGCTTGCAATTATATAGTCTGGTAAAAATACACTACATAGACAGAGACACGGCTCGACACACGATGCACCGGTGTTCGAATCTAAGGCGTGTACCAATTTTTCTAATGAAATACGTACTCAACAGATGTTCACGATTGCCTTTCACGGTGAAGGAATACCAAAGTGTAATAAAAATCAAACCCGCAAAATTATAATTTGCGTAATCACTGGTGGTAGGACCTCTTGTGAGTCCGCGCGGGTAGGTACCACCACCCTGTCTATTTCTGCCGTGAAGCAGTAATGCGTTTCGGTTTGAAGGGCGGAGCAGCCATTGTAACTATACTGAGACCTAAGAACTTATATCTCAAGGTGGGTGACGCATTTACGTTGTAGATGTCTATGGGCTCCAGTAACCACTTAGCACTAGGTGGGCTGTGAGCTAGTCCACTCACCTAAGGAAAAAAAAAAAAAAAAACATTCCGTACATCATACATCGAGTGTAATGCTCACAGTAATTCCCAAAAATGTTCCTTAATAGACATCGTTTTCAAATAATTGTAAATATTATGTTTGTTACAGGTCGTAAATACGCTTTATTGAAGTTAAAAATCTTACTATCCACGATACTGAGAAATTTCAGAACTATTTCTGAAATACCTGAAAAGGAGTTCAAGCTTCAAGGCGACATCATTTTGAAAAGAGCGGAAGGCTTCCAAATGAAGGTTGAGCCTAGAAAACGAGTCCCAACTAACGTCGCCCGTTAAATCTGTGAATTCCAAAAACAAACAATACTTTAGTAAGAATAATAGTGACTTGTTCAATTATTTATTTAAATACACTGATTATTTATTATTATATTTATGTTGATTATTTTGTTTTAGTACATGAATTATAGTTACACGTCCAGTCTTTATAAATTATTAGTGAATAATTAATACTAAAGTTTATGTAAAATCTCCTTCGACTTTCCTAATGGTGTTGGACAAATGAAAACCGTTATATAATTTTGAACATTGTGTTTTATTAATGAAAATTCATTATCAATACATCATGATTTGAATGATTAGCTATAAACTTTATTTTTAAACACTAATGGCTGACTATCAGATAAAGTTACTTATCTTGATGGATAAAAATCAGGTGAATAAATGTAAACGTAATTCAATTCAATAATTTCATTCGTACAACTTTTTTTGGAACGAAATTCCTTATGGGACGATGCGGAGGGGTACTTTAACCGAGAAAAAACTTCCGTAACGTAAGATTTTTATTAGTAATGCACACAGTGTACGACTTAACTTTGTAATAACGTACAAAAAATAACATATTTTTTTATCATTAATTGACCACGATCTCAGAGCGTTCGTTTGCGCAATACACTAACTCTTAAGCAAACAACCGTGAATGAAGTGTACCACAATAAGTTCACACGTTACCGAATGACCGTGGGTTGTTGCGGAACCTCCACTTTTATTTTCTTTATACCTCGAATAGAACTTAAAATTAATATTTTTATAATAAGGAACTTCGTTCCTATCCGGGATCCTACGACACTACACATCTTTTTTAATATTGTATTTTATAGTTAGCGGAATTCATAGTCAGCAGCTTGGCCATGCGCCTAGAACTGCTGACATCCACGAGCAACTGTAATCACTCGGCATCTGGTGGACCGTATGCCAATGCCTACAAAGGCAATATAAAAATCTTCACTAAGCCCTACGTCCTTTTTGCTACGAAATCTCATTTATATTGTATGCTCGTGTGAGATTACTTGTATAACATCTGTACAGTCCGCTACGATGTGCTCTCCGGCACACCTTACGCAGCGGACCGCACGATGGCAGTTGTAGGATGCGTGTCCGAAGGCCTGGCAGCGATGACACTGCGAAGGCCCTCGGGTTGGACGCCATCCATGTCGACGCAGTATCTCCTGGGAGGATTGGGAAGTCCTCTGGGTGGTAGGGATACCTGGCCTAGCTGCCATGGCAGCGTAGGAGGTAGAAGGCTTGGGGTTTGTTGGTATGGGAATATGTTGGGATCTGGTGGACTCGAGGTCCATATACCAGGTTGTAACTTTTCCTCCCTGGGTACAAGTGCGCATGCGCGTTAGTGTCTACGTCTGCTCTCACGCACCTAAAATTCTCCGCCATTGTTGTGCTCGGGTAATTTGCAATATTGTGTTTAGTGTAAAAGTGAAATAAACAAAATGCAATAAAATTTAATACTGAAGTATTAAACAAAGATGAGTTCATCAGACAGTTCTTATTCAATTAGTAGTAGTTTATTTAAAAATTAAAAAACAGTTAAATTGTGTTTTTTATGAGTATGGAGGGGCTCCACCTCCTCTACCCCCTGCCAGGGCTTCGCCCCTGGACCCCGGCTCGGTACTCCACGAACTTTCGGCCTGGTAGGAGAATAAATAGAATGTGCACCGCGGGAAAAAAGTAGGACATCTCATCCCGCGTGTTTGCCAATTTTACACGCGGAAGGAAATGTCCCGCTTTTCTCCCTTGGTGCACAATGTACTATAACTACAGTAGATGAACAATTTTATTGCCCCGTTTCGAATACCTAAAAAAAAACCTTATTGCATACATACACAATAATAACCTTCAATCGTGTGAAGAAATAGAATAGATAATCTATTTATTTGGCAATCTTGGCAGTTTTTTTTTAAATTTAATGCACTAATTTACCTGTGGGAATTTTGATTCTAATAGTGGTTCCTTGTAGCTCCTTGTAAATCGAGTTCCACATTAGTTTTACAACAGCTGTCCTATATCTCAAACTGAAACACTTAACTACTTCTATGGTGGTATTGGTCACAGCAAGCCCCACAAGATGTCATAGTAATTTGCGTATTTTATTTTATTACATGATTTTACTGTTTAATTGTGGAGCTCATTTGCGAGCATGTGCTTGATAGTTGATACATATAGTTACGCCGGTAAAAGTAACGCCATCTATCGCCGTATAGTTGAACGAATAACGAAGGATCTAGTATCGTCCAGAACGCTCGAGGAGCCATCAACGACAACGCCATCTATTGTCAGATAGCGGAAACACACAATACTAGACTTTTGTGGAATATTCTCGACGATTCTGGCGATTTCGTCTTGATTATGTGTGTGTGTGTTGCAGAGATTCCACGCAGTTAGTTTGCAATCGGAACTACTCGAAGCGAAACAGCGAACGGATCACCTGAAACGAACCGGAAGAAGCGAATTGAGAGTTTTAAAGTGTTTGTTGAGTGTTTTAAGCATTCTAAGTGTTGGATACAATGTTAATTTGTAATTCGGTAGAATATTTATTTATCCTGAACCCCAGCGCGTAACAATATTTCCTTCTAAAATTGGTATCAACATGCGGTATTTAAACCCTGGAATAATTGAATCTCTCGGTCTGAATATACCAGGCAACTTATTGATCTTTCAATATTTTCACCTAAATAATAATTAAAGCCTCAAACAGGCGTGATAAAGTAAATCCCCTGTTACTTATTGGTCAAAACTTCAATTTGAGACGCAAAAACAAAACCTGTATACCGGATATCGTTCTTTGAATTAACTTTTATATCATTCCAGGTGAAAAATGGCGTTCACATCGAAAAATGATCGCTCCGACATTCCATATAAATATTTTGAAATCGTTCATGGGAGTTTTCAATGAGAACAGCAAGAGCGTTGTTAAAAAATTACGTTCTGAAGTCGGAAAAACATTTGACGTTCACGATTACATGAGCTGCGTGACAGTCGATATCCTACTAGGTACAATTGATACTTACTTAATTATACATGTTTTCATTATTTTTAACTAAAATATTCCACACGCTGCTGACATCTGTTTTGTCAAGGTCATTGCCAAGCGATACTTCACATAAAGGTTAATATCAAACGTTTTGAATGCTGGTATACGTCTTATTAAATCCGATTAATTATTCCGATAATATATGGCTAGTTTGCTTCTTAACCTTGTTCAAAAGAACTCAAAAATCTGTTAAATTTTATAAACCGACTAGGAAAATTATTTTGTAATTTAAGGAAAGTTTATTTCCAAATTTAAATTGTTCCCATAGATATTTCCTTCCAAATCGGTCTAATAAATTGTTTTGTATTTCAACTAAACGGATCTGCAAAAGTAACTTTTAAAATACCTTTTCTTTCAGAGACAGCAATGGGAATAACAAAAACGACGCAGGATGCTGCGAGTTTTGACTATGCTATGGCCGTAATGAAGTAATTATAACAAAAGCTTTAATTCAATAAATGAATATTTTCTTCGTACTTTGCGAGTCGTAGGCATAATTAAAATTACCTTTACGGCATAATCTGGGATTATTATTACTGACGTTTTACGCTTTTCGTGCTCACGGACAGCTAGTGTTATTCGTTGATATTTGAATATACTTCATATAGCGTCAAGTTGTATATGCAATTTAACTACATATACTTAAAAAAACATTTGATTGATATCTTATTTTTTAAAAAGCAGTAATGTTAAATTTCAAAATTTTTTGAACGTTTTTGGGTATATGAAAATTATTATTATTAATTTACCTAACGTTAATCGGTTACCCATGATTTGAAAAACGATATCCTAAATAATCGTCATTATCATCCCACTGACGTCCCACTGTTGGACATAAGTTTTCCCACAATGACCGCTTCTGCGCAGCCCGCAAAAACGGGTTCCCACGACCTATATAAGAGGCCGTCAGCGCAAAAGTTTCATAAGTTTACCAAGTTAGTATGGAGATAATGATGTTCGAATTTACTTTTACACTGCTTCGTAGGCAAAAAAAAATGCTCTAAAATAATGTTTACAAAGTCATCTGTTATCTACGGATGAAACTTCAATACATAAATTGCAATACATAAGCACGAATGTGAATTGTGGGTTAGGCCACTTTTGCGCTGACTGCTTCATATAGCAGGTTGTTGATTCACGCTTGGCTCACGCAGGCTGCGTCTTAAAATACGCAGTCGCCACCCGAGAACTTTACGAAGAGACACTAGATGCTGAATCAGAAATTGCATAATTTACAAATCTTGTTCTATTTTATTATGTTCCTTTGCTTTTTTTAGAATTTGCAATGTAATTCATCAGAGGCACTACAAAGTTTGGTTACATTTTGATGCCATATTCAAATTGACTTCACTTTTCAAAAAACAGATGGAGCTTTTGAAGACAATTCATGGTTTAACAAATAAGGTAATGTTTAACAACTCCTAACTAAATTATGAACTTAATGTATTTTATTCTGATATTCTATTTCAATGAGCTTGCTGCTGATAAGGTGCTAAAAAACATTTAATGATGAAATAGAAGTAATTTGTGAGTTACAAGACAATAGAATTATATCAAGAGCTCTGACTCCGCAGGTCCACTAATAGTGAAATGGTTAGTTAGTGTATGTTAGTTAGTTAATATTTGGATGTATCGCACCATTGCAAAATTGTAAATTTTATTGTCATTGATTGACTCTCGCCCTATCGCATTCAGAAAGAGGTGACGGCGGCGACCTAAAAAAGTCTCTGTTTACATTAGATTATCACATGAAGTTAATTAAACTGAAACAAAATTTTAAATATTCGCGTTTCTAAATATCCAGGTTATAAAAAAAAGAAATGAATGTACCTACAAAACAAAGAAAAAGGTATAATTCCACCAACAATAGAAGAACTGACTAAAATAAAAGATACAAATGACAGCGTAATGGAAGATTCTACTAAAACACTTTCCGATACAGTTTTTAAGGGCCATCGTGATGATTTGGATTTTAATGATGAACAAGATGTTGGTAAGTTATTAGATAAAAATAACTTCTAGTAAAAATCAATATTGGAGCCATTTGCAATCTCTGAATACATTGAATACTGAATACTAAATACAATAGCCCTGATCTTTCTTCACTAGATACTAGAACCAATTTTACGTAACGTCAGTTAGGCTACCGAAATCCATTTTCATGTTAGTACTTTCTTTGAATCCAAGCATAATATTATATGCAATACAGAGCTAATTGCCATTGGCCGTGCGCATTTGAGTTCAAATCTTGTCCTCCAAGTTTTGTACACATTTATTGCCGGTTCATAGAATATGAAATTAGTAAAAGATAACCATTTGTTTTATATTTATGTCTATTTCAATGATTTAACTTCTCTACCTTATCAGTTATTGATTTAATGAATATATAATTATCTTTATATTCGAAGGCGAAAAGAAGCGTCTTGCTTTCTTAGACTTGATGATTGAATCTGCACAAAACAAGACATGTAATATCAGCGACCACGAAATCAAAGAAGAAGTTGATACTATTAAGTTATAGGTATATTTATTTCAGTTGCAAACAACTACATTATACCAGCGGGAAGTACCGTCATTATTGGAACGTTCAAAATTCATCGTGATCCTAAATATCATAAGAACCCGGATGTTTTCAATCCAGACAACTTCCTGCCAGAAAACACACAAAATAGGCACTATTACAGCTACATACCGTTCAGCGCTGGGCCAAGAAGCTGTGTCGGTGGGTAGATCTATTAATATTTACAGCATATAAAATCTAGTAGCCAGTGAGCCATGAATACGTTTGTCCATCTTAGCTAAACATACAAAAAGACTATGGTTAAAATCGATACAGGTTTTTTGGTTTTAATATGTAATAACCCCAACCTAACGATAGCCTACACTACCTACGTATATTAAAGTTTTTGAATTGTTACGCGATTTTTCTATAGATGATACAATGTACAATACTAGAATTGAAGTACTATCTGTTATCCAAATTTCCACCCACTGATACTAAATTATAGTCGTTGTGACCACTTGCTGTAACAATCTGTGAGTCAGAAATAATCGAAAATACTGGTTTCTTCCTGTCCGATGCGCCCCACCACTAATGAGATGTAAAAATGACCCAACGTATAAATAGCAAATGACGCAATTCCTACTTAGTTGTTATTGTAATTCGAAAACAAAAGTCATCAACATAAACACCTTTGGACCCTTATTAATCTACATAGTTAATTATTGATCGACTTAATGTGCATAATGTGAATAATGATTTTCACGACTAAAGCTTTGATCATTTAATTTGAAAATAATACATAGAAAACTGTTTATTGAAAGCAAAAAAGTGTTCGAGGGTATACTTAATTCGATAGAACCCTGTCGTACACAGTGGATCTTCAATTTGATACAAGAGTACGACAATCTGAATCTATACATTTATTACAATGCCAGGCGTGTTCCACGATTTCAACCACATTAGGTTTAAATAAATTTGATTACTCATAAAAACTTTAAAGTGCATTTGATATTAAACATTTATAAATTTAAATAAAAATATACTAAGGACAGTAAATGGCTATATTTAAAAGTTAAGAACCAAAACTCTGAACAAAATTAATGACCTAATACAAATCACAGTATATGAACTAAATAAAATTACGTTTTGTTTTCAGGTCGCAAATATGCTTTACTTAAACTGAAAGTGCTGCTCTCAACAATTCTTCGTAATTATAAAATTACATCCGAAATATCTGAAGATCAATTTGTACTTCAGGCAGACATCATTTTGAAGAGATACGATGGCTTCAAAATTCGAATTGAACCAAGGAATAAAAATCATTCAAATACTGTTTAAATTTAAGAATTAAATAAAGGTGATTGATTTAAACAAAGATGATTGTGAAATTCATAATATGTACTAACCGCTTGCCCTGAAAACATTATTCATATAGTTCAAATTAAAAGTTCAATCGTAAAAAAACTCTCAAAAGACTTTCTTGAGTGAGATGAATCAGATTTTTAACTATTTAATTTATATAAACTACACTCTGTAAATCATCTGTATACATAATATTTTGTACAAGTAGTTTTTACGCAGGGACTATTATTATACATAAGTAAGTTAGTTGAAAGCAAACGTTCAGAACACCTGAATTAAAAAAAATAGTTGAAATTTTAGTTCGACTTTTCATTACATATTATTATTATGAGAAATATTATAATATGTTAGAAAGTTATCTAAAACTATATAAGGTATGATTAAAAATACATACGACATAGTACTACGGAGAACAGTCGTTTATTATCATCAGCCTGTATCTCTCCACTGCTGGATGTAGGCTCGTCCATAGTCCGCCACAATGAACGGTCCTGCGCCTTCCTTATCCAATATCTTCCCACATATCGCAGCAAGTTATCGGTCCACCGGGCAATGGGACGTCCTACGCTGTGCTTACCGCTATATGGTCTCCAGTCCAGAACGCAGCTGATCCACGCAGCTACCAGTTCTGCGACACGTATGTCCAGCCCATTGTCACTACAACACTACTAACACCTGGTGTTAAGTGGTCACTGGAGCCCATAGACATTTACAACGTAAATGCCGCCACCCACCTTGAGATATGAGTTCTAAGGTCTCAGTATAGTTTCAACGGCTTCCCCACCCTTCAAACCGAAACGCATTACTGCTTCAAGGTAGAAACGGGCAGGGTGATGAAAAAAAAAAAAAAAAAGGGTGATGAAGGAGCCTACCCGTACGGACTCACAAGAGGTCCTACCACCAGTAATTACGCAAATTATAATTTTGCGATAGAGAAATTGGTACCCGCCTGCGGGATTCGAACACTGGTGCATCACTTTAAACGAATGCACCGGACGTCTTATCCTTTAGGCCACGACGACTTCAAAGAACTATGTCGCTTACTTTATTTCTTCGACATACTTCCTCATTTCTGATTCCATCCATCAAAGAAACTCCCAAAATAACTCTTTCCGTGGCACTTTACCAACGGACCAACCTGACGCGTTGAAGACTTTTGTCTTTAACACTTGCGCGATTGCCGAGGAAACGAGATGATGGGATTTTCTATATGCAGCCCTGCCCAACTATTTGCGCCTATCAGCTTCCTACTCAGCCCTGCCTAGCTGAACAACTTGGCCTAGATAGGCGTATTAAGACAGCTTTGAATGCCGCGGATTCGACTATTAACGGTCCAGGAATAATATGATCGTTGAACATGACCATGCCCGGATTAATACATAGACCACGTCGCGCATATTATCAATTAAAATAATATAAAATTCTACTACATTAAAGTAAATAATGAAATGAAAATAAAAATATGACATTACGCCATAATTTTTTTTCTAATTAAGTCGACGATGCGTGAAAACTGAACAAATAATGTACAAATAATAATAGTCCAGTACATTATTTAAGCCCTCAAGCTAGCTGCAACTGGATCGACAGTCACCTACCTGGTTTCAAGTGGTTGCCGAAGCCAACAGAAATTACTACGCCAATGCCATCATCCATCTTGTTACATGAACTCTATGTCTCAATTGAACACACATTTAAACTATTTAGAAAAGTTTTGATTAATGAAGATTTCACTAAATCTAAATTAAAAAAACACGTGTGGCACTCGGGAACTGCCGCGGTAAAGCTATTGCATAGCATTTTTTATTAACTTATGCAATTGTAATTAGACAGTAATAATTTAATATTAATACAAAAATAAAATAAGATCACGCTATATTTATAAACATTAACAAAAGCAAAACATTAACTGTCCCCTTCACACTCATAAGATAGACCACGCGAGAGAGAGATGGGCAGACTTTTCATGATTCGCATACAGTGCGACGTCACGCCGCGCGCTTATTCACAAACACTACACAAGCGCAACGTGTGAATGTGTTGAACGCGAGCTACATGGTAGGAGTGGGGGGTGTCAGATTTTATTTTTGTTACGGAGTTTATTGATTCAGTCAGCCATTACGATGAAATAATAGCGTCCACTGAATCCTCCTAAACTTTCTCGGAGCATTCTCCGTGAAAACGAAACAGAAGATCTCACTCTGTTGAAGTAGTTAACACTTCTTTAACATTATATTGACTTTGTTCCCCACAAACGATATTACTTATATTACGTATCCAACAATAACTTAGCCCCTTAAAAACAAAAACATATATTCAAATTACCCATTTATTGGTGGTAGGTCCTCTTGTGAGTCCGCACGGATAGGTACCACCACTCCGCCTATTTCTGCCCTGAAGCAGCAATGCGTTTCGGTTTAAAAGGTGGGGTAGCCGTTGTAGCTCTACTGATACCTTAGAACTTATATCTCAAGGTGGGTGGCGTATTTACGTTGTAGATGCTTATGAACTCCAGTGACCACTTAACACCAGGTGGCCTGTGAGCTCGTCCACCCATCTAACCAATAAATAAATAAAATACTTCATTGTGTCGACAAATTTGTTTTTGTACCTTTGGTTCAAGCATTCTTGGTGGATTTCCATACTTGACAATTCAACATTAATGAATAGGTTAATCAAAAATCAAATTAATTATTTGATATACCTTTGATAACTATTTAAGTTTATTCATTACGAATTCATTCATGTTCAGTTATTCAAGTTCATAAAGTTCATGCACAACTACAGGTACGAGGTACAGACGGAGCCTTTCTTGAGCGTTATGATACGTCTTTCTCCAAACGACTCTTAAAAGAACCCTCAGCGTTTTATATGTAATGATTTTGAAAACAAGCTGATGGCTATTAGCGATGGTCACAACACACCTGTAGGTACATTACAATTCAATGTCGGACGCAGTACCCAATTGTGAGTAACAAGTTATTAGGAACTTCTTAAACAAACGGAGCCGCTACCTTAAATAAACATGAATTAATCTACTCCTTTTAGGGCTTAATCATTGCTTTTATTATTTTCATTTTAGAATTTTTGACGTATGAAATATATGACGTATATAACGAATGCTGATATGTTTATTGTGGAAAATGACTTCACATTATTAATTCATTATATCGATCAAAACTTATTACATCTGAAAGACTTCTTCCTTCAACTTTTAAAAGCTTCAGTAAAAATCGGCAAATAGATACGAGAGAAAGTTCCAGGCAATGAATGAACCACCATGATAACAACTTATAAAATGTTTACTGGCATTTAATACGATTCCTGTATACATAGTATTTGGGTATTTTAAAAAATGGTATATCAAGCACTGTCTAGTTTTTAACATAGAGCTGCTTTGTTAAAGCCATGCGACATGATAACCCACTTACATTAACTCATACACACAACCCACTGAGTTTCTCGCCGGACCTTCGCAGTGGATCGCGATTCTGATCCGGTAGTAGATTCTACCAAGCACTGCTCTTCTCATGACGTATGCAAGCGTAGTGTTCGCTTACGCGGCCCGCATTAACTTGAAACCCCTTCAGGTTATTCAATCCCGATTTTGCAGGACAGCCGTCGGAGCACCATGGTTCCTCAGGAACGTGGATCTCCACGATGACCTGGAACTTGACTCAGTCAGTAAGAATCTACAGTCGTCATCATTGCACCACTTTGAGAAGACGGCACGACATGATAACCCGCTTGTCGTAGCCGCTGGAAACTACATACCCGATCCTGTAGACCGAATGGTAAACAGTCGACGTCACCCAAAGCACGTCATTACGGATCCTGCCGATCCACTAGTGGTGCTTTTAGGCACCGGTCACCGTCCTCGCCGAACCCGTCGCTTGTGACGAAGGGCTTTTTTAGAAATTCCCCCTGACGTTGTCTAAGCTCCTATAAATGTTTGTGTTAATTATTTGTAATATTCATGTGTTATTTGGCTAGAGTTTTGTAGGTATTTTGTAGGTGTTTTTGTAGGGTCAGTGTTAACATCACTCCGGCTTGAGCTCCGTGAGTTCACCTACTAGTTAAGGTTACGCTGAAATAGCCTCTCAAGGCTATCAGCTTAGGTAGGAAAAAAACTGTTCTTCCTATAGCTAGTGTTAGAAAACTCTTTCAAGTTGAGTGCGTTAGCTCACCTATTAATCGACACGTAGCTGGAGTAGCCCCTGAAGCTATCAGCATTACTCAAAACAAAATAGGGCCCACAACAACTTTGTCTATAAACGTGCTTATAAATAACTAGTATACTAATCATTAGCCAATTGAAGCACCAACGCTTCTAGTGCCAATGCTTACGAGTCCATAATGATGATTTTTTTTTTCTGTTTTTTTTGTTTATCTCAATTGGGTATACGAAAAAGGCGAAGTTCTTAAAATTACCCATTCCTGAAATTCTTAGTCATTTAGTCTTGCTTTAAGCGCAACACTTGGAACACACTTTGTCTAACTGTGTTGTGTCGAAGGGACTGTCACTTCAGCCAGTAATGCTAGCAACGTAAAAACCTTATAAATTTCTATTTATATAAATGGGCCCTATTTTGTTTTGTGTAGTTGAAACACAAAACATATATTAGTTGAAATGCTTTTCCGTGTTAGAGTGGCAATTTTTAGATTTAGGATATTGTCCTTAAGATCAATTCAGGTGTTAAATTATTATTAATTAATATTATTATTTTTGAGAGAAACTATGGGATGTCAGCAACAGTACCGATGGTTTTTCATATGTTTTTTTTATTGCATAGATGGGTGGAGCTCACGAGCTCACGGCCCGCCTGGTGTTAAGTGGTTGCCGGAGCCCATAGATATCTACAACGTAAATGCGCCACCTACCTTCAGAAGTTGTAAGGTCTCATTTTTAACAGTACAACGGCTGCCCCGCCCTTCAAACCGAAACGCATTACTGCTTCACGGCAGAAATAGGCAAAGTGGTGGTACCTACCCGTGCGGACTCACAAGACGTCCTACCACCAGTAATTACGCAAATTACGCACTTAACACCAGGTGGGCTGTGAGCTCGTCCACCCATCTAAGCAATAAAAAAAAGGTACTAAATTATAGCTGGGAACCATAAAACAACGAGGATTGTGCTTTGAGACCAGATACAGTTTTCACTTCTATTCATATAGATCCAACCCCTATTAGGACAAAGACAGATGTCGCAACGATATTTTAAAATTTCGCCTTTAGAAACACCCTATACTTCAATTATATGAATTAAAATTAAAGTCTATAAGCAAATTAACGTGCATAATTAAAAATAATTGACTATTAATAAGGAGCTAACGATATAAAATGTCAAAGATCAATATAAACTTGAGTTGCTGGTGAAAATTGTTTATAATTCTTTTATGAGGGCATCAGACAAGTGCCCCTGTAATTGATAGGTACGTTTTTTAAAATAGGTACGCATTTTTTTTTTTATCGTAACAATAATGGACCTAATTTTATTTTAAAAAAAATTGAAGTTAATTCATTTATTGACATGAAGCTATAACCGACCTAAGAAAAAGAAGAAAGAGCACTTCACATGCACATACATTTAAGCATTTGTCTAATTCGTGTGCTTTTTCGTGTGCTTATACCTTGACGTATTTATTACATTAACATAATCTTAAAAATATTTTCGGTTTTATCTGTTCTGTGGCATGCACTAATGCCAATCTACACAATTGCCTAAGCAAGCTGATGATATTAGTTTTTTTTTTCCATTAAAACCTTAATAAATCTATTAATACGTAGACACACTAAAGCCTTAATATTAAACTAAAATCATAATTTTATCCCCTTTTAGTGAAATGACGAGCTTGGTGGATGAGACCGAGGGATATCACGTTAATTCTCGCGTGATATTTTATCCTCTACTTGGACTTACCACAGCAATATGGATTCTATACAGATGGCAACAGAACTCACATATGCACAAACTTGCTGAATTGATACCTGGACCGGCACCTATTCCGATTTTCGGAAATGCTTTGACTCTCATGAGGAAAGATCCCCACGGTGAGTACAGTACGTTATTATTATAATATGTGAGGCCATTAACAAGTTTAGCAAAACTTTATTTTTAATCTACATCATACACCTCTTCAACTGCTTTCACAAATACATCCTGAAATAATGTAGGTATGGAGTATTCGTGCATACATATTGTCTACCTAATTACGGGTTCCATAAATATAACCAACTATATATTTAGAAGTCTTTTCCAAATAATTTCAAGTTTCTCGTTTGTTCTAGAATTAGTCAACCTCGCTCTGGGCTATGCGCAAACATTTGGCAACGTCGTCCGCGTTTGGTTGGGCTCCAAGTTGATCGTTTTTCTAGCTGACGCTGACGATATTGAAATAATCCTTAACAGCCATGTCCATATTGATAAAGCTACCGAGTACAAGTTCTTTAAGCCATGGCTTGGTGAAGGACTTCTTATCAGTTCAGGTATGTAAGAGTGGTATTTAGTATGTAGTTAGAATTTTATTTATTTTTAGAATTTTATTTTTATTTTTATTACTGGTGGTAGGACCTCTTGTGAGTCCGCCTATTTCTGCCGTGAAGCAGAAATGTGTTTCGGTTTAAATGAAGGGGCAGCCTTTGTAACTATACTTGAGACCTTAGAACTTATATCTCAAGGTGGGTGGCGCATTTACGTCGTAGATGCTTATGGGCTCCAGTAACCACTTAACACCAGGCGGGCTGTGAGCTTGTCCACCCACCTAAGCAAAAAAAAAAAAAAAACAATACAATGAATAGTCATCGCCTGACCGTGGGAAACAGAATGCATTTCATTACTACAGGAATAGTTTTGAATAATTGAAGGAGGTAACGTGATACGGGTACTATATCATTATGTTACTTTATTTTAAAAAGTCCCTTTCATAAACCACAGGTTTCATAAAATCTGTGTCAGTTGGTCAGTCGACTACTGATGATCACTACCTTAATAATACAATTATAAAGTGCGCCAGTTTATGACTATCACCTAAAAATTGGTACGAGATTTCTTCTCTGTTAAATGTGTAAGGCCGAGAATTGTCGCAAAGTATTTTAGAAATTTATGTATCGAAGCTATAAAATTTTTCGATCAGTTTTTATTCTTAATAATTAATAAAAATTCTGCAATAAATCTACGAAATATTATTTTGGAAGCAACATTACATGCACAACGAAACATTATTTTAGGTCCAAAATGGCGTTCACACAGAAAAATGATCGCTCCCACATTTCATATAAACATTCTTAAGTCATTTGTTGGAATCTTCAACCAGAATAGTAACAACGTGGTAGAGAAGTTGAAATCTGAAGTCGGAAAAACATTTGACGTACATGATTACATGAGTGGTACCACAGTTGATATTTTATTAGGTAAGTCAAAACGTATATTCTGAGGTTTTTAAACGGTTTTATTTTAGCTCGACCCGTACGGAATTTATTTGTTTATTTATTTGGGTCAAAATTAGAAATTGAAATTTAAGCACCTTCCCGTTGTCAGATTGATCTGAAATTTGGTACACATATTTAATTTAGATGACAATACAATATAATAAAATCAATAACATTATATATCTAAGATGGCTGCCGATACAAAATGACGGATTACATATTTGTCCTTAAACCCCCTCAATATGGGTATCAAATAAAAGGGCTACACTAATAAAACACGATGATTATGTCATAACTTAAAATTCGAGATGGACGCCGTTCCAATATGGCGGACTAGGTTTTTTTTTTTGAAGGTATTAAACAAGATTTGCAAAAATAATTAGTGGTAAAGCATATTGTTATACCGCACATGATTAGCGACTACCATGAGTTCTTTCGCCCAATTAGACAATAAAACATCTATTATATTTGTTCAATCATATTTTTTTCAACTGTTAAATGCCAATTAGCAAGGCAGCAGCTTTGCTCTGCCCATGGCATTGTTGACGTCCATGAGCGTCGGTAACTCTACCATTAGGTGGGCCATATGCTCGTCTGCATACAAAGGCAACAAAAAAATTATGGAGCTCAGGATAATTTTGGTATTAAACTAAAATTGACGCCCATAGACATCACAACGTGTATGAAGATGTCTACCTTGATACATGAGGGTGCAGTATCAATTTAATTGCCATAGTTGATCCACTACAACTACGGACAGATGATAAGCAAATATATAGTTTCGAACTGACTCGTGGTCGCCGAGCCCATAAATATCCTCTGGCGCTACATCTAAACATTTAATGTATAACATTGGTTACAGAAACGGCAATGGGAATTTCAAGAAAGACTCAGGATGAATCAGGCTTTGATTATGCAATGGCTGTGATGAAGTAAGTACGCTGTGACGAAAGTATTTTAAATTTATCAGTAAGCTAAACTGGAATGCTGAACTTTTACTATTCAAGCATCGTGATGATCGGAAAAATATAAATTCAAACTAGGGCTGATTCTGCCGCATAGCAAGGTATTACGATTTATGGAGTAGGATGAACTTTACACCGATGCAATTAAGACTTTGACATCGTGTCGCAACAAATTAGACGCCACCATCCACACAATTGTGTCCGTGGGCTCCGATGACCATTTATTTAGTAGGGTCGGTGAGAATTCCTTTAACCATAAGAAGAGAGTATCATACGAAACGTACGAAATACGATACGAAAATTACGAAACAATGGTATAAGACGAAATAAAAGGTTAAACCAATTAAACACTAATTTTTGTAGAAATAACTACCTAATTTAAATTAGTAACTGACCCCAATGATTGTTTGTCTCAATTTCTGGATTTTCATAATTAATTAGTTCGAGAATATTCAATAATCAGTCACAATGAAAATAATTAAAAAAAAATTAACACACAATAATAGAAATGTAAAAATCATGCATCATTAATTTAAATGAAATTAGTTACGAGTTTTATATTTATTTCAGAATGTGCGATATCATCCACCAGAGGCACTACAAATTTTGGATGCGATCCGAGATTGTTTTCAAGTTGACTTCGTTCTTTAAACAACAAACAAAACTTTTGGGCATTATTCATGGACTTACTAACAAAGTGCGTTTGTCTAATCAATACTACTCGTATAAAACACTTCATTTCTTTCAAAATTTTAACTTTTGATGTGAAACATCTATAGCCGCACGTAAAACCGATTTCTGGCGTGGCGACGCATGACGTGGCGACGCGTGTATACTCCGTAGTGTATACAGTGTGGTTTACTACAGTACACATAACCTGTGTTTTACTTGAAAACAAATTATTTTTTCGTCATATTTTATTTTATCATTATGACATATTTAGTTCCTATCACAATCTGTTCTTTTCTGCATATTACTTTTACAAAATAATGTCAATATTTCACATCTACCAAGCGTCCCGTGACGGCTCACATTTTTTTTTAATAGAATTACTTTGTCTAAAATATTGCATGTTCTTCAAACAATAATGAAATCGATCTAAAGCAGCATTTATTTGTTTTAACGTGTATATCTCGGATTTTCATTCAGTTTTCACAAATACACACGTATTCATTTAAAACAATCTTATATGGTTTATATATTAGCAAGGTTTTTAAATAAAATACGGTTTTTCAAAAATAAAACCTTCGAAATGTTATTCGTAAAACTATTAGGTGTTGTTGTTAGATAATACATGGCAAATAATAAACATTATTAGCTAATACGAATGCTAATCAATCTGTCTGTTATGTTTTTACGCCCAAATAACTCAAATTCTACGAAATTTGGGTAAGAAAATGGTTTGAAACTTGGGAAAGTTTTTTTCATCCACCTGCTAAGCACGGGTTTCTGACCAGTTGATATAAAGTACTCCACGAAGGTGAAACAGCGGGCCAAAAGCTTTTGTTAAAATTTTTTAGCTAATCTATCAATGTTAAGAAATAGCTTACTGAACTTAAAAACTGTATAAGTTTATAATAATTTAATAATAATAACAATAATTTCCCAACAGTTACGATAATTATAAAGATTTACAAACCTAATTTCCTCCTCAAATTAAGGTCATCAAGAACAAGAAAGAAACGTATCTTGAAAATAAAGCTAAAGGTATCATACCGCCTACACTCGAAGAATTGACTCATAATTCTGGTGAAATTCTAGCAAATAATGCCAAAACACTTTCTGATACCGTTTTCAAAGGATATCGCGATGATCTTGATTTCAATGATGAAAACGATGTTGGTAAGAATTTTATAATAATTTTGATGTCATGAAAGTAACAACTTCATTGTTTTCTATTTACTGATTAAATAATTTACAACCAAACAAACCTTTCCCAAAAAATTATGGGTAGTTTCAAATTTAATGCCTACGCAATTAGTTATGATATCACATAAGAAAAAGTAAATTTTTATTATGAATATTTTGATATAAATAATTCAACAGGTGAAAAGAAACGACTGGCATTTTTGGACCTGATGATCGAATCTTCACAAAATGGAACAAACAAGATATCTGATCATGAAATTAAGGAAGAAGTAGATACAATTATGTTTGAGGTAAATTCACATTTTAAAGCAACATTTAACGAAAGCTATTGAACATAAATATATTGGGAAACGTCTTTATATTCTTAACTATGACAGACAATAAGCGATTTTTATAAGCTGAGGTTGAAACTGCTATTAGCCTTGAGACATAAAATTAAAAGCATAATTACATTTGAACAAAATTGATACCGGATAATGACCGCCCCAATAGGCATTATCAATTACAGTAATTCCCCATGCAGCTACTGGTTTCGTGAAGGAACATTTAAAGTGGCACTTGTATCACATATCTGTTAATTATATTACAATTGTAGTCAAAAATATTCTCTATAACTATTTAACAAAACCCACACTTTTTAATATTATATCTTTTTTTTCTTGTTTTCCTACCTATGCTGATAGCCTTGAGAAGCTATTTCAGCTTCTCCTTGACGTGTAAGCTCAAACCGGAGTGTTGCTAATACTGGCCCTAGCAATCTACCACCGGATCGGAAACGTGACCCACTGAGAAGATCCGGAAAGAAACTCAGTGGGCTATACTTTATCGAAATACAAGCTCTATGAGAAATTTAGAAACGTGCAAAACATTTTGTTTGTCAAACTAAGATGAATCATTATTTTTGTTCATAGCAGGTAGCGTAATGAGTTCATGATTGTGTATCATCATTTATTATTTTTGAGAACAAACAAGAGTTTAACTGGAGAAAAGGGTGTCGCTAATAAAATCATTTCTCAGGGTCACGATACGACGGCAGCAGGTTCCAGTTTCGTTTTATGTCTTTTGGGCATCCATCAAGACGTTCAAGCAAGAGTTTATGACGAGCTTTACCAGATTTTTGGAGATTCCGATAGACCTGCAACATTCGCCGACACCTTAGAAATGAAATATTTGGAAAGAGTGATTCTTGAATCTTTGAGGCTATATCCACCAGTGCCTGTCATTGCAAGGAAATTAAATCGTGATGTTACTATCTGTGAGTAATTAAACCTTTATTGTAGCTTTATTAAACACATACACCGAAACGGACTAATAGCGCCTGAGCAGACCCCTACGCTAACGCGTTTGTATCGCCTCTCGTATAGTACTAACAGAGTTCTGTCTTCATGGAAGACTGCCCATGTCCTTCCTTAAGAAGGGTGACCGGCCGGCCAAATTGAGTAATAGCCCTATCGCGATAACTTCCTTGCTGTCCAAAGTGATGGAGCGAATAATAAATACGCAGCTCTTGAAGTATCTTGAGGATCGCCAGTTGATCAGTGACCGACAGTAAGGTTTCCGTTACGGTCGCTCAGCTGGTAATCTTCTTGTATACCTTACTCACAGGTGGGCTGTAAGCCTTTATTTAGCTAAGGCCATCGACAGGGTCTGGCATAGGGCACTTCTGTTTAAGTTACCATCTTACGGAGTCCCCGAGAAATTCTGCAAGTGGATCGCTAGCTATATGGATGAGCTCGGTGTTCTCGAATATATCGGCCATCAGAATCTCTCTCGGAGCGTGGTGCAAGAGAGACGATCAAAACATGTGTCTGAAGTAGAGAACTCTCTGGAGTTCAATTCAACCCGTTGAAGACACAAGTTTGCGCGTTTACTGCGAAGAAGGACCCCTTTTTCATAGTACCGCAATTCCAAGTATTCCAGCAACCTTCCAACATTATTGGGATATTTTCGGTCTAATTTCGAGTGATGTCCAATTTCGGAGTCATTTGGACTGCAAAGCCAAGCTGGAGTTAAAAATGCATGGAGTCCTAAACAGAGCAAAGCGATACTTAGCAGTATACGCTAGTACTGCTCCCACCACTGGGCCGGCGCTCTCAAATACCAGCTATTTTTATTTGATTCCATAGAGAAGAGAGGCGTTCGGATTGTTGATAATCCCGTTCTCACGGATCGCTTGGAACCTCTGGGTCTGCGGAAGGACTTCGGTTTCCTCTGTATTTTGTACCATATGTTCCACGGGGAGTGCTCTGAGGAATTGCTTGAGATGATACCATCATCTCGTTTGTACCATTGCACCCTTCGATCAATATTGATCGAAGATCGCACCGCCCGTCATCGGAGCAGACTACATCCATACTACCTGGTGCCACTGCGTTCATCCACAGTGCGTTTCCAGAGATCTTTTTTGCCACGTACCATCGGGCTTTGGAATGAGCTCCCCTCCACGATGTTTCCGGAGCGTTATAACATGTCCTTCTTCAAACGAGGCTTGTAGAGAGTATTAAACGGTAGGCAACGGCTTGACTCAATCCCTGGCATTGCTGACGTCCATGAGCGACCGTAACCATTCACCATCAGGAGAGCCGTATGCTCGTCTGTCTATACGGCAATAAAAAGTAATAATAATAATAAATAATAAAATTTACATAAATGTCTTCTTTATATGGGGTAAATGCTACGGATATAACATACTTTGAAGTAAATGCTTTGGAACAAAACATTTAAAGCTAGTATTTGGTAACAGTCGTATGAGAAACGTCTAAGAAAATAAAAACTCGCCGTTAAAATCAGAAAGAAATGTTATAGTAATATATCAAATCATTAATTATCGATAATCTTTTAGCTGTCTGTCTATTAAATGACCAAACTGGTTCAAAATAAAAAATTACATCTTACTAGTATTTCTGTCTGTAAACTATACTTTCATATTTAGATTTTTTTTACTATCTTCTATGATTCGAGCTCGAAACTGACCAGATAAATGATATTATAAGTTGCCTTAGGAAGCAACAATTATCTTGCTTTAATACTTTCTGAAATTTAGAGGGAAATTTGTTTTAGCTACCAAGAACTACGTGATCCCAGCGGGTACAACTGTTGTCATTGGAACGTTCAAGTTGCATCGTCAACCGAAATATTATAAAGACCCTGAAGTTTTCAACCCCGATAATTTCCTACCGGAGAACACTCAGAACAGACATTATTACAGCTATATACCATTCAGCGCTGGACCTAGGAGTTGTGTTGGTGAGTATCTGCTAGCGATTATATAGTCTGGTAAAAATACTCTACATAGACAGAGACACGGCTCGACACACGATGCACCGGTGTTTGAATCTCAGGTGGGTACCAATTTTTCTAATGAAATACGTACTCGACAAATGTTCACGATTGACTTCCACGGTGAAGGAATAACATCGTGTAATAAAAATCAAACCCGCAAAATTATAATTTGCGTAATTACTGGTGGTAGGACCTCTTGTGAGTCCGCGCGGGTAGGTTCCACCACCCTGTCTATTTCTGCCGTGAAGCAGTAATGCGTTTCGGTTTGAAGGGCGGGGCAGCCGTTGTAACTATACTGAGACCTTAGAACTTATATCTCAAGGTGGGTGGCGCATTTACGTTGTAAATGTTTTTGGGCTCCAGCAACAAACAAAAAAAAACAGTCCATAGATCATACATCGAGTGTAATGCGCACAGTAATTCCCAATAATGTTCTTTAATAGACATCGTTTTCAAATAATCTATCTATATATATAAAAATGAATTGCTGTTCGTTAGTCGCGCTAAAACTAGAAAACGCCTGGTCCGATTTGGCTAATTTTGGTCTTGAATTAGTCGTAGAAGTCCAGAGAAGGTTTAAAATGTAGATAAATATGAAAATGCTCGGAATTAAATAAAAATAACAATTTTGTTTTTCCTTTGGCGTGTCCCCCGTCGGACGGATTCCTTTTGTTTGTTTTAAGTTTTTTTTTTTTTTTATTGCTTTCGATAGGCAGCCGAGCTTACGGTTCATCTGATGGGAAATGATAACCGTCGCCCATAGACATCCAAACTACATCAGTGACTCAGATGCGCTGCCTATCCTGGCCTGGATGGGCAGCCTTATGTATGTTACACCGGCTATCCTGTCCTTCAGACCGGAACACAGTATTACTGTTTTGCGGCAGAAATAGACAGGACGGTGGTACCAACCCGGGCGGGCTTCTACNAGAAACGACTGGCATTTTTGGACCTGATGATCGAATCTTCACAAAATGGAACAAACAAGATATCTGATCATGAAATTAAGGAAGAAGTAGATACAATTATGTTTGAGGTAAATTCACATTTTAAAGCAACATTTAACGAAAGCTATTGAACATAAATATATTGGGAAACGTCTTCATATTCTTAACTATGACAGACAACAAGCGATTTTTATAAGCTGAGGTTGAAACTGCTATTTGCCTCGAGACATAAAATTAAAAGCTTAATTGCATTTGAACAAAATGGATACCGGATAATGACCGCCCCAATGGGCATCGTCAATTACAGTAATTCCCCATGTAGCTACTGGTTTCGTGAAGGAACATTTAAAGTGGCACTTGTATCACGTATCTGTTAATTATATTACAATTGTAGTCAAAAATATTCTCTATAACTATTTAACAAAACCCACACTTTTTAATACTATATCTTTTTTTTTTTCTTGTTTTCCTACCTATGCTGATAAGCTTGAGAAGCTATTTCAGCTTCTCCTTGACGTGTAGGTGAACTCACGGGGCTCAAACCGGAGTGTTGCTAACACTGGCCCTAGCAATCTACCACCGCATCTCATTGACGCGACTCACTGAGAAGATGCGGCGAGAAACTCAGTGGGCTATACTTTATCGAAATAAAATCTCTGTGAGAAATTTAAAAACGTGCAAAACATTTTGTTTGTCAAACTAAAATGAATCATTATTTTTGTTCATAGCAGTTAGCGTAATGAGTTCATTATTGTGTATCATCATTTATTATTTTTGAGAACAAACAAGAGTTTAACTGGAGAAAAGGGTGTCGCTAATAAAATCATTTCTCAGGGTCACGATACGACGGCAGCTGGTTCCAGTTTCGTTTTATGTCTTTTGGGCATCCATCAAGACGTTCAAGCGAGAGTTTATGACGAGCTTTACCAGATTTTTGGAGATTCCGATAGACCTGCAACATTCGCCGACACCTTAGAAATGAAATATTTGGAAAGAGTGATTCTTGAATCTTTGAGGCTGTATCCACCAGTGCCTGTCATTGCAAGGAAATTAAATCGTGATGTTACTATCTGTGAGTAATTAAACCTTTATTGTAGCTTTATTAAACACATGCACCGAAACGTATTTCAATATAACCTACTAGTAGCCCCTGAGCTGACATCTACGCTAACGCGTTTGTATCGCCTCTCGTATAGTATTAACAGAGTTCTGTCTTCACTGAAGACTGCTCATGTCCACCCTATCCCTAAGAAGGGTGACCGGCCGGACTCATCGAGTTATAGGCCTATCGCGATAACTTCCTTGCTTTCCAAAGTGATGGAGCGAATAATAAATACGCAACTCCTGAAGTATCTTGAGGATCGCCAGTTGATCAGTGACCGAAAGTAAGGTTTCCGTTACGGTCGCTCAGCTGGCGATCTTCTTGTATACCTTACTTACAGGTGGGCCGTAAGCCTTTATATAGCGATGGCATTCGACAGGATCTGGCATAGGGCACTTCTATTTAAGTTACCATCTTACAGAGTCCCCGAGAGGCTCTGCAAATGGATCGCTAGCTGTTTGGATCAGCTCAGTGCTCTCGGATATATCGGCTTCTATCGGATATAACTTGTGTCTAGTGTAGAAAGTAGAGAACTCTAGTGTAGAAAGTAGAGAACTCTCTGGAGTGAATTGAATTTGGTTCAATTCAACCCGTTGAAGACACAAGCTTGTGCGTTCACTGCGAAGAAGGACCCCTTTTTCATGGTGCCGCGATTCCAAGTATTCCAGCAACCTTCCAACAGTATTGGGATACTTGGGGTAGAATTTCGAGCGATGTCCAATTTCGGAGTCATTTGGAGGGCAAAGCCAAGCCGGAGTCAAAAATGCAAGGAGTCCTCAACAGAGCAAAGCGGTACATGATGCCTGGACAAAGAGTTTTGCTTTGCAAACCACAAGTCCGACCTCGCGTGGAGTACTGCTCCCACCTCTGGGCCGGGGCTCCCAAATACCAGCTATTTCTATTTGACTCCATACAGAAGAGGGCTGTTCGGATTCTCAATAATCCCATTCTCACGGATCGCTTGGAACCTCTGGGTCTGCGGAGGGACTTCGGTTTCCTCTGTATTTTGTACCATATGTTCGACGGGAAGTGCTCTCTGGAATTGTTTAAGATGATACCATCATCTCGTTTTTACCACCGCACCGCCTGCCATCGGAGTAGACTACATCCATACTACCTGGAGCCACTGCATTCATCCACAGTGCATTTCCAGAGATATTTTTTGCCACGCACCATCGGGCTTTGGAATGAGTTCCTCTCCACAGTGTTTCCCGAGCGCTATAACATGTCTTTCTTTAAATGAGGCTTGTAGAGATTATTAAACGGTAGGCAGCGGCTTGGCTCTGCCCCTGGCATTACTAACGTCCATGAGCAACCGTAACCATTCACCATCAGGAGAGCCGTATGCTCGTCTGCCTATACGGCAGTAAAAAATAATAATATTAATATTTACATAAATGTCTTCTTTATATGGGGTAAATGCTACGGATATAACATACTTTGAAGTAAATGCTTTGGAACAAAACATTTTAAGCTAATATTTGGTAATAGTCGTATGAGAAACGTTTAAGAAAAAAAAGAACTCGCCGTTAAAATTAGAAAGAAATGTTATAATAATATATCAAATCATTAATTATCGATAATCTTTTTGCTGTCTGTCTATTAAATGAACAAACTGGTTCAAAATAAAAAATTACATCTTACTAGTATTTCTGTCTGTAAATTATACTTTCATATTTAGATTTTTTTACTATCATCAAAGATTCGAGCTCGAAGCTGACCAGATAAATGATATTATAAGTTGCCTTAGGAAGCAACATTTATCTTGCTTTAAAACCTTTTGAGATTTAGAGGGAAATTTGTTTTAGCTACCAAGAACTACGTGATCCCAGCGGGTACAACTGTTGTCATTGGAACGTTCAAGTTGCATCGTCAACCGAAATATTATAAAGACCCTGAAGTTTTCAACCCCGATAATTTCCTACCGGAGAACACTCAGAACAGACATTATTACAGCTATATACCATTCAGCGCTGGACCTAGGAGTTGTGTTGGTGAGTATCTGCTAGCCATTATATAGTCTGGTAAAAATACTCTACATAGACAGAGCTCGACACACGATGCACCGGTGTTCGAATCTCAGGTGGGTACCAATTTTTCTAATGAAATACGTACTCGACAAATGTTCACGATTGACTTCCACGGTGAAGGAATAACATCGTGTAATAAAAATCAAACCCGCAAAATTGTAATTTGCGTAATTACTGGTGGTAGGACCTCTTGTGAGTCCGCGCGGGTAGGTAACTTTTGTATATGAAAATGATATTATGAAGTGAAATGAAGTTGATTCCTCCTCCTTCCTCCTCGCGTTCTTGCCAAAAATCCAAGTCCTTGATCTGTCTATCTATAAAATTGCCGTCTAACAATGCTGGCCATTTCAAAAGGAATTTATGTACATATCTATTGCTGGCAATAAATTCTAAATTCAAATGAGTTCTATTTTAAAAATATGGAATTATAATTTCAAATTCAGTCATTCGTTTAATGATTAGTGATGTTTTCACTATATTAGTATATTTTTCGTGTCTTTATCGTGTCGATATGGACACGATAAAAATACGACTGAATAATGAAGAAAAGTTCCGTCGCAGTAGCAATGCCGCACAAACGCTTACAACATTATCGACATGTACGAAGTGAACGTTACAAAGGAACGCTTTTTTTTTATTGCTTAGATGGGTGGTCGAGCTCACAGCCCACCTGATGTTAAGTGGTTACTGGAGCCCATAGACAACTACAACGTAAATGCGCTACCCACCTTGAGATATAAGTTCTAAGGTCTCAGTATAGTTACAGCGGCTGCCGCGCCCTTCAATCCGAAACGCATTACTGCTTCACGGCAGAAATAGACAGGGTGGTAGTACAGGTAGGTACTACCACCCTGTCTGGCGCATTTACGTTGAAGATGTCTATGGGCTGTGAGCTAGTCCACTCATCTAAGTAACAAAAAAAAACATAGTCCATAGATCATACATCGAGTGTCATGCGCACAGTAATTCCCAATAATGTCCTTTAATAGACATCATTTTCAAACAATCTATATATATAAAAATGAATTGCTGTTCGTTAGTCTCGCTAAAACTAAAAAACGGCTGGTCCGATTTGGCTAATTTTGGTTTTGAATTAGTCGTGGAAGTCCAGAGAAGGTTTAAAATGTAGATAAATATGAAAATGCTCGGAATTAAATAAAAATAACAATTTCGTTTTTCCTTTAACGTGTCTCCCGTCGGACGTATTCCTTTTTTTTAAGTTTATTTTATACAAAAATTTAGGTCTTTTATTTATCGATTGAGGCACTACGAAGCCTGCCGGGTCAGCTAGTTGTAAATATATATTTGTTACAGGTCGTAAATACGCTTTATTGAAGTTAAAAATCTTACTATCTACGATACTGAGAAATTTCAGAACTATTTCTGAAATACCTGAAAAGGAGTTCAAGCTTCAAGGCGACATCATTTTGAAAAGAGCGGAAGGCTTCCAAATGAAGGTTGAACCTAGAAAACGAGTCCCAACTAACGTCGCCCGTTAAATCTGTGAATTCAAAAAACAACAATACTTTAGTAAGAATAATAGTGACTTATTCAATTATTTATTTAAATACACCGATTATTTATTATTATATTAATGTTGATTATTTTGTTTTAGTACATGAATTATAATTACATGTCCAGTTTCTATAAATTAATAGTGACTTATTAATACTAAAGTATATGTAAACTCTACTTCGACTTTACTAATGGTGTGGGACAAATGAAAACCGTTATATAATTTTGAACATTGTGTTTTATTAATGAAAATTCATTATCAATACATCGTGATTTGAATGATTATCTATAAACTTTATTGTTATATACTAAGGGCTGACTATCAGATAAAGTTAGTTATGCAACCATTTTTTTTATTGCTTATATGGGTGGACGAGCTCACAGCCCACCTGGTGTTAAGTGGTTACTGGAGCCCATAGACATTTACAACGTAAATGCGCCTGACACCTTGAGATATAACTATAAAAGCGTTGCCTAGACGACAAAAAGGCAATTAGGAATCAGTTCTTTTTTTTCTCTACCTATTCTCTGCTAGCCTAAGGGGCTATTATAACTACTTTTTACTGGTTGTAGGACCTCTTGTGAGTCCGCGCGGTTGGGTACCAGCACCCTGCCTATTTCTGCCGTAAAGCAGTAATGCGTTTCGGTTTGAAGGGTGGGGCAACCGTTGTAACTATACTTGAGACCTTAGAACTTATATCTCAAGGTGGGTGGTGCATTTACGTTGTGGATGTCTCCAGTAACCACTTAACACCAGATGGGCTGTGAGCTCGTCCACCAATCTAAGCAATAAAAAAAACTACGCTGTAACTGGTAGTAAGCTCACGAGCTCAACCCAAGAGAATGTGCCAACACGGACCCAAGAAAGAGCAGTTCCCAGAATCGACCACCGGATCGGAATCGCGACCAACTGAGAAGATCTGGTGAGAAGCTCAGTGGTTTGTATCTATGGATTAGTTTGCGGATGGAGACCGGTGCTCAAAGAGCTTTTAAATACCAATAGTGGATCCGAGGGATCGGACGAGACCTATTTCTGCCGACGGCAGCATTGCGTCGCCCCGTCGCCTGGTTATGTAACTAGCTGAAAGACAGGGTTATCGTTTCGCGCCGCTTTTTCAAAATAAATCAGTTCTAGGTATACGAAGCGAAACAACAAAGGGATCACCTGAATTGAAGCGAAAAAAGTGAAATGCAATAATTGAAGTCAACCTTAAGCGGATAAAAATACAAATTGACTTTTAATATGTATTTCAATGAAAGCAATACTTCAATAATTGAAGTCTACCTTAAGTGGTTAAAAATAGAAATTGACTTTTAATATGTATTTCAATGAAAGCACATATTCGAGCCCCAGCACATAGCAATATACAAATACTTAAAACTGTATTTTTTAAAAATACAAGCGCCTACTTTTTGAAAGAATTAGAACGAGAATCCATATTGCCTTTAAAGTTTTTATAGGCGCTTTGTTCGACTTTAGCTGAAAGTATTCGCAAAGGCGGAAGGAAGGAAAACAGTACGAAATGCAAGAGGGTTGTGGTGCAACTAAAATTTATGTTTTTTTTTTTTTAGATATCTGAATTCCACCGAATTCTCAGTGCTAAAAAAGCTTCCCAAATTCAACGGGAAGTGTATTTAAAAACACTTTACGGTACATTTTTTTATTGCCTTTGCAGGCAAACAAGCATACGGCCCCCTTAATTGTAAGCGGTTACCGTCGCTCATAGACGTCAGCAATACCAGGGGCAGAACCGAGCCGCTGCCTACCTCTATATCGCTCGTAATAGGGTGATACTTTCCAAAACTTGCATACGGGCAATAATGATCTACGTGAGTGTGGTGCTCTGTCACACAGCTCTCAAACAAATAAACTCTCGTCCAAATATTCAATCAAGCCTCATCAGGAAAACCTCAGTGCATCATAGGAAAGTGGATCGTCACAACTACCTTATTTTTTATTGTTTAGATTAGATACCAGTAAACGGTCCACCAAGGGCCGTAAGTAAGTAAGTAGGTATTAGAGCCCATATACCTACTTAGTCTGGCCATAAATACTGTTACAATTAAAAATAAACAAAATATTACATTTGAATTTGGAATCTGTCATTTTTATATGATTGCTCATTGAGTTTTCTCATTTTGGCGCCAATACATTGTACAATATTTTGCGATATTAAAATGGAGTGGGGTGATAAAAAGAGAACCGAATCGCTGTGATTGCATTACACGAAGTGGGTATGGAGCCAAATGCAATTGTTTGATGTTGAATTCACTGAGTGGACTGTAGATTTTGTGGTTCTTGTGAATTATAAACACTTTATCACTATCGCTGGGTGTTTATTAATATTTATACAAAGTACAACGGTTTTTACAGGCACAGCGATGGAAGCGAATTTTGTGAATGACAATTATGACTGGTTTCAGACCTAGTGAATGAAATGAATGACATTAATATAGGTTTGCTACAGCAATTTTTAAAACTCTCTACACTAATATTATTATTATTATAGAAGTATAATAGTCTTTGACAATAGAACCATAATAATGTTCAAACTTATAATTTCAATTCATTATAGTCGAATTTCGACTATTGCGGGACCACTAGTATTACATAATTAAGTAACAAACAGTTTTCAACATTACTGTCACTAATTAAATATTAACTCGATTAGCGGCTTTTTATCTTCAAATCAGTTATATTATACATTTAAAATTTACACGTTTGTGACACCGCCTCTTTGGGATTAAATGAATCCTCCTTAAAGACGTAGGAATTTAAAAATATGGATTACTAAAGAACATAATTTTAAATTTGGAAACCACAGACGGACCATTCGTTTTCTCACTTCTTTCCGCGCAACGTGCAAACTATAACAAAATATTGAAATCTATTTTAATTCAGTTTTTTTCTACCGCTATCGCATCAAATCAGAATTTTTAATTAACGGTGTGAAGGGCTCGCCTCCTGTTCGCCGTTGAAAAACCATTAAGGAAGCCAACTGTTAGAAAGAATGTGGACTTGGAAAATATCATGTGAGTCAAGAGTTTAGTATTCTCTGATTCAGGCTGTGTTTTTGTAACTTCACCGCGCCGCCAAAATATCCTTACCACCTGCGCCCGCGTGGTATAGCTATTTACACGCCACAACATTAACATATTCTTTCGTCTGTGTCTATTATTAGCTTAGTCGCCCCACTAATCACCGCTTTTACTTCGTCTCGACTAGATCGATAACCAGAAACGATGATAAAATATTAGATTAAAAAGTTGTGGCTATTAAGAGAAAACCTAAGCTTTGAGGAAAGATATTTTAATTTTTAACCGACTTCTAATAATAAATAAATGATTCTTTAAATAATTGAACGTACACTGTCGTCTGTATTTTTTTTTTATTATTGCTAGATGGGTGGACGAGCTCACAGCCCACCTGGTGTTAAGTGGTTACTGGAGCCCATAGACATCTACGACGTAAATGCGCCACCCACCTTGAGATATAAGTTCTAAGGTCTCAAGTATAGTTACAACGGCTGCCCCACCCTTCAAACCGAAACGCATTACTGCTTCACGGCAGAAATAGGCAGGACGGTGGTACCTACCCGCGCGGACTCACAAGAGGTCCTACCACCAGTAATTACGCAAATTATAGTTTTGCGGGTTTCACTTTTTATTACACGATGTTATTCCTTCACCGTGGAAGTCAATCGTGAACATTTGTTGAGTACGTATTTCATTAGAAAAATTGGTACCCGCCTGGTATTAGAACACCGGTGCATCGCTCAACACGAATGCACCGGACGTCTTATCCCTTAGGCCACGACGACTTCAAATGTATTATATCATTGAAGACGAACTTTGAAAAAATTAATTAGCAGACAGATCATGTTGCTGGCGGCCGCCGGTCCGGCGTCTGGGGGACGGCGGGATGGATGTAATGTGCTCTGCGTTAACCCTGTCCCGCCGTCTCAATAGCTCCGACTGGGTTCCCGCCCGGTCTGGGATAGGGCGCCGGCTGTGAGCGGCAGGAGTTTTTTTTTTTTTTTTTAGTGAGGTTCGACTCCCACATACCCCACCTGCCGTGCGGGTGGGGATCCAGCGATTTTCTCCTGTGGTAAAGTCCTTGATCTTTTTTTTAAGGGACTTTACTGGTCTGGTAACTATGACCTTTAGATCAAGTCTTATTTTAATTTTAATGATACGTAACTTTTTTATATGAAAGTTATATTATAAAATGAAATGAAGTTGATTATTATGAAACATGGCATGAAGTGAAATGAAAACGAAATGAGATGAAATGAGATGGGATGGGATGAATGGGATGAAGTATAATCTCAGTAAAATGGTAGTCATTTACTGAGACTTTTTCGGTTAACTTTTTGGAAGATCCCGAGAAGTTACGTTCAGCCAGCGCGATGAACGCATTATGGTGTACCTTACTTGACTTAATAGATCCAGAAACGAAAGGATTTTAAACGGCATTGTCACTTGCGATAAAAAAATGAACATCTTTTGATAATCGTATGTGGTCATCATGTTGATTAGATCCTGGTACCTACTTACCTAGGCAATGGCCCAAACGAAAACTTACCCCTAAAAAGTCATGGTCTCTGTTTCATGGTCTAGTGCCGATATAATTCACCACTGCTGCTTACGAAATGGTACCAGCAGGCGGATGTGAGGTACTGATAACAGTGATGGAGAAGCTCGCGAATCTCCAGCCAGCTTTGGTTAATCACTCACCCTCGCTGTTCCTACACTACAACATTCGGCCTCATACGGCACAACAAACAGACTTTAAGCTAAAAGCTAAGGTCGGGTATTTCCGTCATTCACTGTACTCACCAGAGCTGGCGCCAACAGATCTCTACTATTTCAAAGTTTGGACAAGTTCTTGGCAAGAACAAACTCAATAGCATTTGTATCTAGCCACCGGTGTTTGAATCCCGCTGGCGGGTACCAATTTTTCTAATAAAATATGTAATTTAACAAATGTTCACGATCGGCTTCCGCGGTCAAGGAATAACATAGTGTAATAAAAATCAAGCCCGCAAAATTATAATTTGCATAATTACTGATGGTAGAACCTCATGTGAGTCCGCACGGGTAGGTACCACCACCCTGCCTATTTCTGCCCTGAAGCAGTAATGCGTTTCTGCTTGAAGGGTGGGGCAGCCGTTGTAGCTATACTGAGACTATAGAACTTATATCTCAATGTATAGGGCCAAGAGTATAGAGCCCTAAAATCCCTTGGGCCTGCGGTCTGCTCCCAACATCTGCAGATCGTCAAGTCCCACAAATCCCGCATGCCCGTTAGGCGCGGGGACCTCGTAGGAGGATCGACACACAGCCCGAAGAAAAAAAATAATAAGAAAAAAAATTGATTGACTTTACGTTCTCGACTTATGCAAGTTTTGTATGCACTTTCCAAGTTATTCAATCCCGTTTCTGCAGGAGAGCGGTCGAAACATTCTGGCATGTGAGAAAGGTACATCTTCACGACGACCTAAATTTAGACCCGATACGTAAGTGAGCATCAGAACAATACTTTGAAAAGGGGGTGAGACGCGATAGTCCTATAATCGTAGCCGCCTCGAACTACTTATCCGATCCAGACAACGGGGTAACGCCCAGCCGCTCTTACCCAAAATATGTCATGTTGGTTAAGTTTTTCAAGCACCGGTCACCGTTCTCGTCGAATGCGACGAAGAGTTCTACAGACAGCTTAACCAACAGTTGTATGTTTTGTTATTGTTAGCTCACTAAGTTTTTCACCGTATCTGTACAGTAGGTCGCGATTCCGATCTGGCGGTAGATTCAACGAGCCACGCTCTTGCTAGGGCGGATATTAACAACTACTCTCAGGCTAAGACCCGTAGTTCGTCAACTAGCCGCGAGGCTGCGAGCAATTAGGTAAAATAAATAGGATTGACTTTTCTCCACTAGTCTACGAACCAGTGGTGTGATTAATTGAGTGTGATTAGACTAATTAATTGATTTATCTATATATGTAATCGGTCAAGTTTAGAAGACAGTAATTGCCTGGCTATTAGTGGTTTTAATTGTCATTTTATAAGAATGGACTTGCCATACTCAAACTTGTTTAGTCACTTTAGGTGCTTCCGTAAGGTTATTGTATCTGTGTCAGTCGACAAAATATATTTTTGGTATTCTAATATCTAAGATATAATAATAATAATAATAATCTAAATATTTCTACAGGTGGTAGGACCTCATGTGAGTCCGCACGGGTAGGTACCACCACCCCGCCTATTTCTGCCGTGAAGCAGTAATGCGTTTCGGTTAGAAGGGTGGAGGAGCCGTTGTAACTATACTGAGATCTTAGAACTTTTATCTCAAGGTGGGTGACGCATTTACGTTGTAGATGTCTATGGGCTCCAGTAACCACTTAACAACAGGTGGGCTGTGAGCTCGTCTACCCATCTAAGCAATAAAAATATAAAAAAAACATTGTTGGCTATCGCTTATCCGCTGATCTTGAGACTTGGTACAGCTTTTGCAGGCACCCTAAGGAATTCATCGGTCATTGTAATTTCAAGCATTTTGCTATCGTTGTTTATATTTACCACTTAATTTTGAGATCTTTCGCGTTTTGCATATTTGATTTGATATTATTATAATGTTTAATGTAGTAATTAAATACTAAATTAATAATAATAAATAATAAGAATAATAATTTAATAACTAAAATATATTATTAAAAGGAGTCCCTTTAGGCAAGGTTCCGAAGATACTGGCAGCGTTCCCCCTTTGAATAGCTAGACTAATTCTTTGTCTAAGGTAGCTAACAGCTCTTCGATCAAATTAAATTTAGTTTTTGCTTTATATTACGTTTTCAATTCGCATATTTAATAGACATACATTTGACATTAATAGTTCAATAAATGGCAGACTTCCTTTTCTATCATAGACAATATAAGCTCAACGGTCTAATAAATTTCTACTTCCAATAACTGGTTTACATCAATGTATTATTTAAATACGCAATATTTATGATAATGCTTTTCCTATGTTTTTATTTTTATCAAAAAGTCAAGTTTATTTTGTTTGCTGTATCGAAAATGCATAAAATGCATCCGCTTCGTAAATAAAATGTGACGATATGCTTAATAAATATCAAAATTCTATCTCAAACTAATATATTATTAACGACCAAAATACTGAGTATAAAACATATTATTTTATAGATTCTCTGCATGGTTTTCCTAAGGCGCAATATATATCCAGTCAGCTCAGCTCTTTGTAACCCACAGAGGAAGGTATATGATTCCCCTTGAGCGATACAACCCCTATCATACCATACAATTGAGACCTTGACTTCATCTATCAATCATTTCTCTGTGGTCTTGCGCTATGTCTTTCATTGATCCATCTTTTTCCTACCTACGTTGGTAACCTCGACGGGTTATGCCAGCGTAACCGGGCGATTAGGTGTGCGCACGGAGCTCTAACCTGAATTTGCTTATATTCATCATCATAGAATCGTTGGTAAATCATCAGTAAATGACTAATGTCAATAATTTCACTAACACAAAACGAACCGAAAAAGATATACATTGAGACTTGAGTAGCTAATTAAACATCATACACGAAACATAAAATTATTAGAAATCTAAACGTTGCGTTACCTATGTCTTATGTACTAGATTCGTTTGCTGAATAAAATTTTTTTTTTTGTATTGATACAGAATCTCTGCAGCTTTTTTTTTTATTGCCCTTATAGGCAGACGGTGACGGTGAGTGGTTACCGTCGCCCATGGACTTCAGCAATGCCAGGGGCAGAGCCAGGCCGCTGCCTACCGCTAATTTTACTATTGTGCTATTTAATGATATTCTTGTTAGATTTTGCTAATGGCATGTATTATTTTTATACACTGTGCAGTTTGTTCGTGTCATCGCTATCGTTCCCGATGAAAACAAGCACTGGTTATTTACGTGCAGCCAGCATAATGTTAAATCGGAACCGGATTTACGGTGAAGGACGAGCATGATCTTAATTTAGATTGTTGATTGCTCATTCATTATATTTTTAATATACAAACCTTGTCTCATACAGTGAATGAAGTTATTCTACTATATACATTTTAACCCGATACCAATGGTGTAACCAAGACTTCGACCGTCTCTTCATGGCCGCAGAATGGAAATTGTGGGGTCTATAAACTTCAGTAATGGATAAAAGTCAGATAGGCCATGAACTTGCCGGTCAAACTATTTTAAAGCTGAAAAAAAGTGTTAACGAACATGTCTCTCGTGGAATAATACAAGAAGCACAGTCAGAGCCCTATTCTAAGCTCATAATATTTACTGAAGGTAGGACCTCTTGTGAGTCCGCGCGTGTAGGTACCACCACCCTGCCTATTTCTGCCGTGAAGCAGTAATGCGTTTCGGTTTGAAGGGCGGGCAGCCGTTTTAACTGTACTGGGACCTTAGAACTTATATCTCAAGGTGGGTGGCGCATTTACGTTGTATATGTCTAACACCAGGTGGGCTGTGAGCTCGTCCACCCATCTAGCAATAAAAATATATCTACGAAACCAAGTGTTGATCCCAAAAATCTTAAAGAATTTCAGGTAGCAACAATATCAGATCAACCGTTCGATAAGCAAAGATGCAAGGCCGTTCTCTCAATAATATTGAAAACCAGTTTACATTGTTTTAAAAAGATGTCTCGAGCGGAAACCAAATCCTCATAGTTAAAAAACGATTTAAACGATTATGTAACATACTATTAGTTTTGTAGTATAAGGAAATAATCAACAACAATCACGAACTTTGTATTGTAATTAATAAAAAAAAATACTATGAGCTTATTAAGTACTTACACAATGTTGCATAACGAATTCCTTGTATGTAATTGCTTGTAACAAACAAAAGCACTGTCACAAAAAAAAAGTTACGTCAAGGAAACTCAAAATAAAACAATGAATTAAAACAAAAGTAAAGAAAAATAAATCATTTATTTTAGTACATGATTGAGCTACCTTAATCTATTGCTTAAAGGATATTTGGTTTTGTAGGAATGGTGATAATCATAAACACTGTCCTAAGTGGCTGGCAGTACTGACCACGTTGACTAAATACTTACAGACCACACTAAGAACTTATTTATCGTCTATCTATATATTAATACGTGAAGCAAAAACTTTGTATCTCTTTTTACGAAAATTGCGCGGACGGAGGGGTATGAAATTTCCCACACTTATAGAGAATATAGAGAAGAAGTGCAGAATGTTCATATTTTTTTAAAATTATGCATAAAAAATACAATAAATCCATAAAAAAACATTACACACACACTACCATGTATTTGACACGCATCCATACTGTTTGTTTATTGTCAAACTTTTCATATTGCTTATAGTCTGTGGTCAAATTGAGAATTGATTAAATATTGTTTGTCTTTATTAAAGTGTAGCCTAAAGTGTATCTTGGCGAAATCTGTAATTATATAATTTGGCATTAGAATCATATTAATAATGTTCAAATTTATAATTTCAATTAACTATAGTCGAATTTCGACTACTGCGGGACCACTAGTAGGTATATATAAAAATGAATTGCTGTTCGTTAGTCTCGCTAAAACTCGAGAACGGCTAGACCGATTTGGCTAATTTTGGTCTTGAATTATTTGTGGAAGTCCAGAGAAGGTTTAAAAAGTAAATAAATATGAAAATGCTCGGAATTAAATAAAAATAACAATTTTGTTTTTCCTTTGATGTGTCCCCCTGTCGGACGGATTCCTTTTGTTTGTTTTAAGTTTATTTTATACAAAAGTTTAGGTATTTTATTTATCCGTTGAGGCACTACGAAGCCTGCCGGGTCAGCTAGTAATGAATAAAAAAGAATTAAACATATAACTGATAGTCAGAATTTTAAAAATAGAATCGGAATAATAGAATAATTTATCGGCCGCGTCCTATGTGCAGAAATCGTTCACACTTATTCGGAATAACTCATTACTGTTTTGGACTACACTCAGAAGCAAAGGTTATCCAATGATTTTAAGCATTGTATACCTCAGTATGTTCAACGGTGTTTAACTAATAAAGATTATAATATAGTGGTGTTTAGTTAATTATCTGAAATGGTATATGTAAACTTTTATTATAGAATAACATGGCGCCCAAGGAAACAGTCGACTTAATTACAATATTTGAAATTATAAAACATTAGTAATTACTAACATGAATTTAATTACAGTATTTTTAATGAAAAATGTTATAATATTATAATTTATTATCGTAGCAATGAAATAGATTATGGATCTTGTACTTTTATGCAAACAAAATTCAATCAATTATGTATTAAGGTCGGTAATTTTAATAAAGTTTGTTTTTTTGCCTTCTCTTCTGTGTATCTACTGCTGTACACATCTTCAATATCTACAGCAAAATATTGTAAATATATACGTATTTTAAATTACATAGAGATAAATTTTATACGTAACTTAAGCACTAATACACAGTATATAGTTACAAACGAAAACGATCATGAATTTGTAATTATTTATTTAATATTATTACCAATACACTTATTGGTTTTATATTGGTATTTAAATAAATCACTGTAACTAAATTAATTAGCATTACGATTTGTACGATAGACAAAGTACTCAGTAGTCCATAAAACAACACATAATAAACAACAAAAACTCATTGCCAAGAAACAATACACGTAGCTTCCTGTTTCTTCGTAGAGGACCCCTGAAAAAAGGAAAATCGTTTTCAAAACTATATTCAAAATTTATAATATATTTTTGTTGATTTTTTATGGTAATTTCCCTAATGGACTCGTTAAATTAATATGTTGTAAATTGTTTGTAAATCGTTTTCCAAAGTCGTGGTTGAACTAAAAACTTCGTCGTTAGCGTACTAGTCTTTAGAAAATCAAATGATTTGATATTTTAATAGTAAATTGTGCACCAAGGGAGAAAAGTTGGACAGTTGAAAGTTGTTAGCGGTAGGTAACTATTTTTTCTCCTACCAGGCTGAAAGTTCGCAAAAACTTAGCACCCGTGGAGTACCGAGTCGAGGTCCAGGGGCGAAGCCCTGACGGGGTGTTGGGGGTGGAGCCCCCCACCGATAAAAAAAACAATTTAACTGTTTTTTAATTTTTAAATAAACTACTACTATCGTGTTCTCTCATTTGGCTGTTTTAATAACTTCCCTGGCCTTTTTTCTGACTTTTATTTACTCGTCTCGCCGCCTACTCTTTTGCTCTGCCTGTATTTTTAATTTTCATTTTTCTTCCACCGTCTTGGTATTTAATTCCGTCCATTGATTATAATCACGATAAATAAACGATAATTATCGTTTCCGACTATTCTCTATGACGTATTCTTCAATCTCATTACTGCATCTCTCTTTTCTTTTTCACTCATAGCTATTATTTACTTCCAACTTTAGCGCCATTTTACTAGTAGATGAATCGTTCGGCTTAATCTTTTGTGATACCAGAATTAAGAGGCATGATCGCAGAGAAGTTTTTTTTTATTTATTTTTCTGTTTATCCCCGTAATAAATATGGACGGCCAATTAAAATAGTCGGTGTTTTTATTATTCAATAGATTTGTAAAAATCATTAAATCATTGCGTAGATCAACTAGTAAAGTATGCAAATATATACACGCATTAAAACGTCTACGGCAATATTTTATTTCTGTCTAAAGAAACTCTAAGTTTACGAGGAAAACTGATTGTATTAAACATTAAATTTGCATGTTGTAAAGTTTAAGACTAAAATTTCGTATGACTAAATAACGAATTAGCTGCGGGAGCATTCAACCTTTCCTATTGAAAATAAACATCTTCAGTCCATTATTTTTGTTCGAGATTATGCACATTCGAATTAAAAAAAGATTACGAAAAAATGTGTTCTATGCCTAATTGCAACGAATGTTAGGTGTTTACCTACGAAATTGCCGTTTAGGATACAGAAAAATAAAGTCATTTTTATACTTATTTTTTTATTTCTGCCAATCAAAATGTACCAATGGTATCGATGCATCTCCGTCAGTGTATCGATAATGTTTCAATGCTCTTCTTGAAGAAGTCAGGTGTAAAGGTGTAAAGGCTAAAAGACTCTTCAAAGGAATTTTGCACTGCCTGTTTTATTGTCTTTTTAAGCGGACAAGCGTGCGACGGTCAATCAGTCCGTATAATTTGCCTAAGACTGAAAGGAGGCTGTTCGGGGGTTATCTCGCGAGTTCGCTTTAGGTTTCCGAGTTTGTGTATGCCAATAAGGTCCACTTCTTTTCACACCACGGGAAAGATGCAGTTCATTGGCATTTAATAATAACAATATAAGCGGCATTTAAATGGGGACCAATATGATTATTAGTTGGGCGGATAAATTTTTTAAAAGGGGGCTATGTATGCCGTAAGCGATTGTATGTTCGCAATTTCTCTGTATCTGTTAAACAACATAAGATATGCCTTAATGCGTTCGCTACTGCATGCAATCCACTCACTTAATAATATATTTTGTTACTATTCCAATTTGAAGCGAATGGATCAATATTATTATGTTGAAAAAAGCTACTTCTAACTAAACAGTAGACTGAATATCGTCAACTACCATTATCGTATTTAGTTCGTCGTCATTGACATTAGTGTTTAGGACGTCTGCAGGGTTTATTTTTTAAAATTAAACCTCCATGGCGGTAGCGTTGAAAAAAATAACGAGTCGTGTGTTTGTTTGTAGTGTTCACTTCGTACACCTCAATAATGTTGTGAGCCGTTTATATTATATATGACGCATGACTGGCGCGACGGACCTCTTATTCCATAATCACTAGTATTTTTATCGTGTTTAATTTGATTAAAAGTATCAAGCACAGTGAACACAAAACACTAATCAAAAAAATTACAGAATTTGAAAATAAAACTCGATATATTTAAAATAAAATTAATTCGAATTAATAATGAATTGGCAGCCAAACATAAATTACATAAAGTAAGATTGTAATAGGTATAATAAAACGTAAACAACTTACCAATTAAAGGATCAGCTATTAACATTAAAACTCCAGAGAACAATATGTGGAGAGCTAATGCAGCCGGGAATCTATCAGGGGCTGCCATAATAAGTACTAGCGGGAACAGAACTTGTACTGAACATCTGACGAGCCCTGATATAGCTGTTACGGCAAACACGAACCATAATTCGGATGAAGTCACTAACGCTGGAAAAGATACGAAAAAATCATTAAATTAAATTAAATTAAAAGCCTAAAAAAGTGTCAAGTCTTTGGTTGTCGTTTCCGATCCGGTGGTAGATTTTGCGAAACACGAAGTTTTAACCCCATGAGCCTTAGGTAGAAAAAAAGGTTAATGTTTTCCGATTTTTGTAGTATTTCATTTGGGTACAACAAAAAAAACATTCTTAATGAAAAAATATATAGACAATAACTTGTCTGATAATCTAAAAGAAGCATATAGAAAATTAGATAATTATTTTATTGCAAAATTATAGTAATATAAATCGCCAGATCACTTCGCATAATGCGAATACAAAAATCGTTAAATTAATCGATTTTGTTTTAAATTTAAGAACCAAGCTATCTTAATGCATATAATTAAAATGGTTTGATTACTTGTCACACTTGTTTTTTTTTTTGTAAGAGAAGTGTCTCAAAACGAATGAACTGAATAACTAAATATACGAAAAAAAACAATTTATTTGGAATTTCATAGAAACACAATATAGAATTCAAATAATTTTAAAAATTGTATTTGGTTATAATTTGAAACAATGTTATAATCGCCATCACCAACACAAAGCCTTTGCGTATCATGTCATGTCAATCTGTCATAATGTCTTGAACATGCAACAATTCTTGGTAGGACCTCTTGTGAGTTTGCACGGGTAGGTACCACCGCACTGCCTATTTCTGCCGTGAAGCAGTAATGGGTTTCGGTTTGAAGGGTGGGGCAGCCGTTGTAACTGAGACCTTAGAACTTATATCTCAAGGTGGGTGGCGCATATATGTTGTAGATATCTATCTATGGGCTCCAGTAACCACACCATGGGGTGCGAGCTCGTCCAACCATCTAAGCAATAAAAAAAAAGTTTTTTAACAACTCACCAATGCGCAGGAATACTGTGACACATGTCCCAATAAAGAATAAGAGTCTACTGTCGACTGCGTAGAAGTATGTAAATATTGCCAGTCCGAATCTAGCTAAGAGATCGGAAACCGCTCCCACCATTACACATGATGCTACTTCAATCTAAAAAACAAAAATTGTTTTTAATCCCTCACACCGGCCGTCTGGTGTAGTGGTAAGTGACATGGTCACTACACAAGGGGGTTGCGGGTTCGAATCCCGCCAAGGGAAGATATTTGTATGATAAATATAAATGTCTTTTCCAGGGTTATGGATGTATATTAAATATATATATAATAAAAATCTTACATTTCTTTCCGTTATCTGGTACCTGTAACACAAGTTCTTTACGAACTTAGCACGGGACCAGTTAACGTGGCGTGATTGTTTAAAAAAAAAGAAAGAAAACACCGATATATAATTAGTCATCTAATTGAATAAGAATAATCACAATACGGTTACTGGCTAATCTAAAGCTTTTAAGCCAATCATGGTTTGTAAACTACTGCTATTTTCAAATGAAATTGTATTATTTTTTGACAAAAGTCTTCATGGATCTGAATTTATACACTATCTCCTTATTGGCAGTTTTCGGTGGGCTTATGTATACATTTTTATTAAAATTTCTTACCTTAGTAAATTTATACGAGAACAGTAACGTTGGTTCCATAGCCAAATATGTGACATCAGAAACGAAAGCGAAACCCACGCCGACTAATGTACTGACAAACCTGGGATCCTTTAGAAGATCTAAATCGATATTCTCATATATCGTCTTTCTGAAAACAATATTACAATAATTATTAAATAAATTCAAATATACAAATGAATCGCGTGTCCTAAAATTAACATCGATTAAACAATCAATCATATTGGGTTAAATAATATTTGCAAAGATTACTTAATATTACATAATATGATGTGTGTTGCGAGTACGCATTTTTTAAAAGCTTTTGAATTGGGTGTTGACAAAAAATATATGTTAGTAAATATTAAAAGATGGGTGAAAAAGATATTAAAAGATAGGTTAAAAGTATCGTATGTAAGTCTATCTTATATTGTATTTATTTTTCACGTGTGTATATAATTTTATATTTTTATGTAAGTTTATTAAGATATAGCATCGTCCATGCTAGCTTGCTTATTCCTCTTCCTTCCCTTCCTGATAAGGCCGCCAATTTATGTCACCGTCTATTATTTGCTTTATATGATTACTCTGTACATGTGGTGTTAAATAAAGAATTATATTATTATTATTATTAAAAGATGGGTCACTGTCGCGAACAAGCGGAGAGAACAATTTTATTATGCTGTATTTTCGTACTTACATTATATGCTTCTGTATAGATTCACGTTTCTTTACTCTTGTTTCCCTCTCTTCACACTCTTTATCGTCACCTGGTAACATCTTGACTACAGCTTCATCGAAAGCCTCAACTTTTTTAACATTTATTACTTCACATTTTGATGTTAATTCTGAAAGCGTTATTGTTGTTATGTATACTGAAATATACATTATATCAAACATTTACATTAGAAATAAAATAGCGTGTAATGGGTTGAAACGTCATGGACAAGATTTTAGGTGTGCTTCTAGTCAAATCGGTCATTACTGCGAGATATTATATACCGCATATACTCCTAGTTCCTTGGTTTTATGAAAATGTATTTCCATATCATGAACATGTTATAGCCCCGCCGTTCACAGCCCATTAATAACAATGTATGGATCGTTCGAATTTGTGAAAATTACGTAAAAAAATTAATACCCAAAAGTTCATACGCTTCTGCTATCTACCGACATATGCTAATAAAACCGATGTTTTTTTTATATCCCAGAGATAGTCATTAAAATTTCTATCACGTCAAAATTATAAATTAACTAAATGAAGACAAGTTTTTCGGAATCTGTTATTTAAATTAAATTTCAGAATTCAATTGCCAATCGTAAAATTGCGAGCACTTAAGCATAACAACCACGAAAACACATCTCATTAAGTACGGATGTATTTAACATTATAATTTATGATAAAAATAAAGCTGATATCTGCGTAATCGAATCTTATAAAAGTAAACTGTCCATCAAAGTCGGTTTTGAAGTTCGAATCATTCAAGAAATAATCTATGTATATGTGAATAAACTTTCATCCAAAATAAAATAATAAAAAACTGTCAATACTTATTACTAAGTACTACTATTACTATTAGGTTTTTAATATTTTAAAATGAATAAAACATGAGATTAAGCCATTAAAACGTCATTAATTGTGACGTGCGAACTAACTAAATTTACATGTGTTTTTATTTTAAGAATATTCCACGTACAGTACTCCCGATTGTCTGTTATCAAACTAAATTATTCCATAACTTTTATTAACCACGGTTGTAAATTACAATTCGGTTTTATTGGATCGTTGAGCGACAGTTTTAAAACACGTACTTAAAGGTGAATTGAATTTTCGACTTCGTTAGATCTCGACCAAATAGGCAAAAGAAAAAAACAGATCTAAGTATCGCTTCAAAGTGGATTTGTATGTAGTTCTTTTAGACTATCATTTTAGATCAATTATTGCCTGAAATACAATTATGAAAATAGCTCTCAATCTATAGACAAGTAGATTAAATTCAAGTGTCGGATTGTATTGTCAAAATAGCACCTTGAAATGACTGATGCAATAGTGAATAGCTAAGGGTCATTTTAATGACGAGAAAAAAACTAAAATTCCAAACAATACTTGTTATAATACAATACAAATCCGATTCAAATAAGGAAATATTGTTAATAACAGACACAACGATGAAAAGACGAGGCTGGTTTTAACTAATCTTTAATATAACAGAACAAATTACAAATCGAAAAAAATAGTATAAGATCCTAACACCCTCACTACGGATCACGCCCATATCTTTTTTTTTATGATTGAAGGATTACTGGTGGCCCGGAGGCCTTTCCAGTTTCACCAGGACAGGTGGGCGAGCAAAGGCTCAGCCAGGAGGGGTGGGATTTGCTAACAGCTACCCGAGCGCCTCCGAAGGAGACCTAACAGCTGCCTAAGAGCAGCTGCTTAGCGAATGAATCTACTACCGGATCGGAATCGCGACCCGCTGAGAAGATCCGGCGAGAAACTCAGCGAGCTGATTCATGGGTTAGGTTGCACGGCGAACTCTTTGTCGAGTTCGACGAGTACGGTTACCGGGGTCCCTAAGCCTGCTCCTAGTGTTAGAGCTGAAGGCGTCTAATGCAAAGGTTATTGGATCTGAGGGATCCCTAAGGACGTGTCTAGGACGTCGACGGTGACTGGCTCCTGCGTGATCAGGATTCGGGGAGTAGTCAGCGGCGGCAACGATAAGGCGATTATCATGACGCATAGCCTTATCGAAGTACCGTTCCGACGCTGACTTCATGTATTTCTGGATAGATTCGAGGCCCAGGTCGTCGTGTAGGTCAACGTTCCTCACGAACCACGGAGCTCCGACGGCTAACCTGCAAAAGCGGGATTGTAGAGATTGGAGGGTGTCTATGTGTGTGCGGGCCGCGTGAGCGAACACCACACTCGCGTAAGTCATGACGGGCCTTATGCAAGTTTTGTAAAGTGTCACCTTGTTCCGAAGGGACATTTTACTCCGCTTACAGATCATGGGGTAGAGTCTACCGAGAATAAACGCGGCACGGTCACGGACTGATTTTATATGCGGGCGGAATGTCATCGATGCATCCAGGGTAACGCCCAGGTACTTGACCTTCCTGGCCCAGGGTATGGATTGACTAAAGAGAGTAATCGGGGGTGTGAGATTCCTCCTCCTAATACGGGAGGAAATCCGTGTGGAGCTTCCCCTCTGAAATAGCACCGCAGTACTTTTCGCTGGGTTGATGTCTATGCGCCATTTTCGGAACCACTGTCCTAGGGCTAGGGCTGCGCTCTGAAGCTTCTTCGCGATTAGGGACTTGTTTCTACTGGAATAGTAAACAGTCGTGTCGTCGGCGAATAAAGCTAAATGGGTCGGCGGCGACCGGGGAATATCGTTAACGAATAAGCTAAATAGGAGGGGTGAGAGGACAGAGCCTTGCGGGACTCCAGATGTGAGAGGTCGTGGGGAGGAGCGGGTTCCCTCGACTCGATATCGAAAAGAGCGGTTCGACAAGAAGTCCACGCCCATATCGACCCGTCGCGGTATCTATGTACCTCTTGATGGTGTGGACTGATTATTTCAGGTGTTTGTACGCGTTCGATAGAGGCAAATACATATTTCAGTTTATGATCAAAACTGTAGGTATTATCCATAAAAATATCATGACAGGCACTTTTCGGCCTACCACGCACTGACGACAGTCACCACCACCAGAAACCACCTGCTCAGTGCGGCAGTGGGCCTATTCCAGGCCGCCGTCTCAACAGGCCGACGACCCGATCTTCTTCTTTTTCTCCACCTTATCCCACTAGGTGGGGTCAGCACAGCTAATTTTTCCCTTTCATTCTCTTCTATCAGCCGTCATCTCAACACTCACTCCTTTCTTTCTCGTATCGTCATTCACACACTCCATCCATGTCTTCTTCGGTCGACCTCTTCCCCTTCTACCTTGCGCTACCATTTCTATACATCTCCTAGTCACATGCATCGTCTCTCTACGCATCACAAATGTCCATACCACGCTAACCGTCAACCCGATGCCACACAGAATGCGCGCCCCCCCAATCATTGTTGTGATGTTTAGCTGATCTGACGTAGCGTTCGCTCAACGATATATCGATGGCGATGACGATGGCAATTAATAAAAGAAAAATACTAACTATGGAAAATAGAGTAATTCGCCCTACAGTTATTGATAGTGATACGACAGACTGCGGAGAAACTTGAATAGTGCCCAAGTAATAAAACAATTACATAAAAAAACATATTGCAGCAAATGCAATCAAACCTTTGCGTGACATATTTTGAAGACGAGCATTAACTTGAATATTAATAAAAATAAAATTATTTTACTCTAATTGTTCTATTATCGAAATCCGCTTATTTTTCTCTGTTCCATTACTACTAAAAATACTTTCTAGTGCGGGTCAGGTCGTTATCGGCCCGCTGCTGGCTTATTCCTCATTTCATATTTAACAGAACCATGGGCGAATCGAAGAAGTTGGATTCAGAGTTATTCAAACTGTACCAAAAATAATTGTAAACAATATTTTATCACAAAGTTATAGCATTTTAATCTACCCTAGTGCTGGTGGATCCAAAAAGGCCTGACACACACCGGTGGAAATTTCGTTTGGAGTGCATTTCGACCCGCTGCCGCACCGAACGAAGGTTTATGATTTTACTTGCCGCAGCCAAGGAGTTAATCAATAAACTAACATCCGGATAAATAGTCCCAATCTTCAATTGCTGTTACAACATTAACTTGACACGAACATAAAATATCAATGTAATATAGAACAGCTACTTACCCGTATTATTTTCGTTTGTCTTAACTAAATGCCATTCAACTGGATGCATCACAATCATAGCAAATAGTAAATGTAAATCTATAGCCATTATTAGAGCTAAGGTCCATCTCAATCCGTATTCAGAGAGTAGATAAGTTACAAGCATGGGAAATGTTATTGAAGCTAAACTGCTCATTGTCTGATTGGCGCTCATCATCGTTGTGCGTTTCTTCGTAAAATAAGAGTTGAACGCTGTAAAACTAACTGGGATCATCACGCCAAAGCCGGCTCCTGAAATGCGATAAAAAATATTTTTATAGATTTATTTTTAACGTCCCACACCATCTACTACTACTACTACTACTCGTACTACCGCATTCTCTAAAAGTCTATTTTAATATTTTTTTTACAAATCGAATTAGGTATAATGAATCAAAATTTTAATTAAAAAATTTGAAACAAAAGTTGTAAATACAATTCTTGATCACTGATTTTTTACAATATTACGTATCGTTATTAATTAAAAGATTGAAAGACACGGTTTTTTTTAACGGACAATTTCGTTTTTCCGTAATGAATTATGCAACAAACTCACACCCCAATATTGATATGGCTCTGTATGATAATAGTACATTGTGCACCAAGGGAGGAAAAGTCCAACTTTTTTCCCGCGGTGCACATACTATTTTTTCTCCTACCAGGCCGAAAGTTCGTGGAGTATCGAGCCGGGGTCCAGGGGCGAAGCCCTGGCGGGGGTAGGGGGTTGGAGCCCCCCCATACTCTTAAAAAAAACAATTTAACTGTTTTTTAATTTTTAAATATACTACTACTAATTAAATAAGAACTGTCTGATGAACTCATCTTTATTTAATATTTCACTATTAAATTTTATTGCCTTTTGTTTATTTAACTTTTACACTAAACACAATATTGCAAATTACCCGAACACAACAATAGTGGAGAATTTTAGATGCGTGAGAGCAGACGTAGACACTAACGCTCACGCGCACTTGTCTGTACCCAAGGAGGAAGAGTTACACTTTCTTCCCTGTACAGCGGGAGGAAAACCGAAATTTCGGCGTAGGTAGGAGAAAAAATATATAGTAACACCTAATTTTAATACTTGAGAAGACAATGAAATTGCTGTACATGCTCTGGGGTTTTATCAGTGTGAACGTTGTGGTCAATGTTTTGCAAAAGAATAAATTACGGCTTAATTTTTTTTGGGATATATATAGCCCATGTCTCTTCAGCCCACCATTTTTTTATTTACTCTCTTAATCTCCTTAGTCTCCTATGGGCCAGTTATTTTTCACCCAACAGTTTAATTGTTTGGGAATACAATTGTGCATCAGTATAAGTGTTTTATTCTCTAGAATTTACAACCTCCATTTAATGTATTGCATGAGCATTGTATAAGCATTGCTTAGATGGGTGGACGAGCTCACAGCCCACCTGGTGTTAAGTGGTTACTGGAGCCCATAGACATCCACAACGTAAATGCGCCCCATCTTGAGATATAAGTTCTAAGGTCTAATAGGTATACTTGATATAGTTACAACGGCTGTCCCACCCTTCAAACCGAAACGCATTACTGCTTTATGGCAGAAATAGGCAGGGTGGTGGTACCTACCCGCGCGGACTCACAAGAGGTCCTACCACCAGTAATTACGCAAATTATAATTTTGCGGGTATGATTTTCATTACACGATGTTATTCCTTCACCGTGGAAGTCAATCGTGAATCTTTGTTGAGTACGTATTTCATTAGAAAAATTGGTACCCGCCTGCGGGATTCGAACACCGGTGCATCGCTCAACACGAATGCACCGGACGTCTTATTCTTTAGGCCACGACGACTTCAAAACATACATACATATTTACATATCAAGTGTAAACAATACTAACCTCTAATTACTCCAAAAGTGAAAACCAATTGATAAGTTCTCGTCACGAATATTGTGAGTATGTCTCCAAGGATGAATAGGCCAGCTCCGACCAAACCCACTTGACGAAATGAGTACTTTTTTAAAGCGATACCTCCTAGAAATCCTAAGAATAATAAAAGTGTGATCTTGTTATATATTTAAAAATCATGACTTTATATTACGCACACATGTAATTCACAAATTCATTAAATTTCACTAAACGTTAATAATATATGTGATATTAAGAAAACGGTGGCCGAAATATTGAATTTATCTGTTTTTAGTTTAGATTCTAATGCAATTTAGACTTCAAATTATTTAATAATGACAATTACTACACCGAGTATAGGCAAATGATTTTGCTCGCCGTTAGCCGTTCTCATATTGAATCTAGAATTTATTTGGTCTAGAATTTACATACTCACCTGGTAATCAATTTAATATTTGACTTAAATACCTGAATATACTTTTAAATTCATTAAAATTATAATTATTCTGAATAATTAAGAAGCTTCTTCTTATCAATAAAGAATTAGCTGATTAGATGGTGTTTTATTTGCAAGATTCTTAGCATAATATTTAAATTGGAAACAGAATTAGATTAGACTTCAAAAAATACATATAAATTACCAAGAAACCATCAAATTCCTTTATCGTGCTTCTCTGAGGTTTTTAAATTAATTAATAACCTTATATAATTAAGTTAACAAATAAAGATATGTCTCGAAAATTGTTATTTTTCCTTTATTTACAAACATTGTTTTTAATGATGCAGATGCACTCGATATTTATAATACTTACACTAAAATACTTCAGAAAAGACGCCTTAACGCACATTATTTCAATTCCGATTCACGTTATATACAATTTCATAATAATACCACACAAATAATGTAATTCTATAATAATGATATTATCCAAACGAAACACAATACTCATGTTATAAAATCTACTGATGTAACGCGGCTTCCGATACAGTATTTCTATACGGAACAATTTTCTCGTATGTAGATCATGTTACTGATTGCCTGAGAGTGAATTATAGTCGGCTTCTTTGTATAATTCATATTTTATTTTTGTCCAATCGCAGCGGATCGTCGGATACAGAACGCGAATTTTGGGAATTGCGACAGTTCTTAAAGACAATGTGAAACTATGAGCATATTTTTGAGAACTAATAGGTGAGAAAGCAATTTAGAATTTCAATGTCCTTTAGTCATATTATTATGATTAATAATTTCAGATATAAGCTGATTCCAACCTACACAATTTGAAGGAAACTTAATACGTGTGTTTCTCTTTGAAATAATAAACTGAACTTAGCGCAAATTTAAAAAAGGTGCATTTTTCTAAGAGAGCATAATTGTCAAGCTTAGTGCTATTAGCTAGCTCTCACAGATAGGTATCTGTGTTTAAGTACATCTGTCGTTAAATTTTTAGGGATCTTGATTCTTTGAGTTTGATATAGTAATTTAATAACGTCACCTTACTGTCGCTCTGCCTATTAGAGACTTGGGATTCGGTTTTCCTCAGAACCTTTTTTTTTTGGTATTCAATTGAAATTAGTACGAATACAACGGTGGAAGGAAATCGTATTAACCTCAGGATTCTCAGTTAACACAATCAAAAAATATTTTTTCACTCCCAACACTTATGATGCTAATTATATAAAACATGTAGGGGAGATATTTTTTAACATAATCAAAGATATTTTTAAAATAAAAGAAGAAAATGCCCAAATCCCACATAGTCGCAATATTTATTCTAAATAAAACAATTTCATAATTTCTCCGATGTAAATAAAATACATTTTTATACATACATACATAGTTTTTTTTTCTATTACAGGAAATAGTCTCATATGGCTCAAGGATGTAATAATATAAATGATTTAATTGCTCAGTTTTTTTTGTGTGATTTGCGTGTTTGAGTTTATCTCAATTAAGCAATTATTATGTAGCCAAGTGTATGTAGTCAACTATCTTATCTGGTACTTGGAGCTCTCAGGGCAAGACTTTTTCCTCTTAGTTATTATATAGAATATATATATATAGACTATAATAGAATTGATCGACTAAGGATACTACTGACTAGCCTGGTAAATACGTGGTAACTGTGAACCGTAGGTCAGATAGGTCCATAGGTAGGCAATAAAAAATGTTCATTACACAAGTTTATTACTGAACTGTTGAAACTCAAACCCGATTGACATTGTTATTCCCAAGCGCTCTTTTAACTACACTTAACTACTTTTTTTTTTTGTTTTTTTTGGTCAGGAGGAAATCGCCAAACTCCCACCCTCTACTGGGGATGAGGGCGGGGTATGTCGGAGTAGAACCGACTAAAACCTCCTGTCGCTCAACAACCCACGTCCGAGCCTCACATGAGACAGAACTCATGAAAAGGCAAAGGGGGGAGAGTGAAGCGTTTAGTGCGGAGCACATATCTCCCATCACCCTCCCCCTCGGGACGCCGGGCCAGCGATCGTCGGCGTCACGACCACCAGCCCTCTCGGTCGGCAGTCTGTCCAAAGCCCGCCTAAATGGCGCCGGTTTCAATGGGTTATCCTACGAAATACCCCGCTGGGTCAGAACCAGCGTGGGTCGAGGATAGCCGGCCTTCCATCACCCGGATGCTCTTGCGTAAAACGCGTGCAGAACAGCTTGCACGTCGTCCTCTTAGGCCCCCTTTGCCGGGCCCCAGACTGACATATGAGGGGGAGCCGAAACACCAGGAAGGACCAGGGCTTAGGCGAGTTCCGCCTCCCTGGCCCTCGCTCGACGGCGGCGGGATTGTGCGTCTCTCACGCGCCCCGTCGCCTCCTTCTGCGAGATGGTGCACTCACAGAAGTCGAGCATCGCCTTCCACGACTCGTCGTCGCCGAGCATCGATGCCACAACACTCGGCAACGACAAGTCGTTTCCTATTTTTGCGAAGAGGACACGGTGCCACCCCTTCCATGCGGGGCAGGCAACGAGCGTGTGCTCCGCCGTGTCCAAGTCGCAATCACAATGGTAGCAGTCTGCCGTCGGCTCGGCTCCGATCCGGTGCAGGAACTGGAACGCACCGAAGCAACCATGCCCAGTGAGCACCTGCGTGAGCCGGAAATTGAGGCGTCCTCTGTCACGATTCACCCAATCCAATCGGGCGAATCGCCTCGACGGTCCTACGACCAGCCGAAGGATCGGCCAGCCGCCTGGACACACTTAACTACTTAGCACTAAGTATTATAAATTTATCAGACATATTTATATTGTCTACTGATAATAATACAATTAAAGACAACGTCTCATTTGTTCTAACTCATATTTATTTCCACATCGATGCATCCGTCAACCGCCTGTGAAATAATTTCAGAAGACCAAAATTGGCAATCCATATGAATTGATTAATTGACCTGAATTGAAAGCCTGGCTGCGCTGGAAGAACTTTGAAGGATCACTATTATTCTCACGCTATGAAATATTGAAGTGGGTGACATGACGTCCGGTACATTCGTGTTGAGCGATGCACCGGTGTTCGAATCTCAGGCGGGTACCAATTTTTCTAATGAAATACGTACTCAACAAATATTCACGATTGAATTCCACGGTGAAAGAATAACATCGTGTAATAAAAATCATACCTGCAAAATTATAATTTGCGTAATTACTGGTGGTAGGACCTCTTGTGAGTCCGCGTGGGTAGGTTCCGCCACCCTGCCTATTTCTGCCGTGAAGCAGTAATGCGTTTCGATTTGAAGGGCGGGGCGGCCGTTGTAACTCAAGGTGGGTGGCGCATTTGCGTTGTGGATGTCTATGGGCTCCAGTAACCACTTAACACCAGGTGGGCTGTGAGCTCATCCACCTATCTAAGCAATAAAAAAAATAAAAAAAGTAGTAACCGATTCGCATTATAAACGCCATCTTCGTGTTTACGCAAAAAAATATCTGTAAACTTCTTCTAAAACCTTTATCTAGGCAACAGTACAAACTGACATAGTTTCTCATTAATTAAGGGCAGTAACTCGGAAGCCGATCAATATTGCTGTATAGGTGAAATTCGAGTACTACACATGCGTCATCGGCCCAACAAAACTGACATACGTGCGGTCAATTGAATCAATCATCATTTTTAGCGTCCAAACAAATAAAAATATTAATAGGTACAGTACAATGTGCGTCACTTTTTCAATCGTCAGTTAAACACGAAATTACAAATACTAGAGGTCCCGCAGTAGTCGAAATTCGACTATAATTAATTGGAATTGTTTCATAAGTTTGTAAACTATTATGATTGTATTTTATACTTCTATAATCACACATTTCGCCAAGGCTACACTATAAAAAAATATTAATAAAGACAAACAATATTTAATCTATTCTCAATTTGACTACAGACGTCAAGAACAAAAGTTTGACAATAAATAGTACGCATGCGTGTGTGCGTCAAATACATGGTATGTAGTGTGTGTAATGTTTTCTTTATTAATATAATTTATCTTTTATGCGTTATTTAAAATAAATTATTAGCATTGTGCACTTCTTCTCTATATTCTCTATAAGTGTGGAAAATTTCATACTCCTCCGTCCGCTCAATTTTCGTAAAAAGGGATACAAAGTTTTTGCTTCACGTATTAATATATATATTTATATATATATATTTTTTTTCTTTTCCAAGATATAGTTAACACTTCAATCGTTTTGAAAGATCTTTTAAATTCCGTTTTTGAAAGGTAATATTTTCATTTGTCATTGATTTAGTCACTGATATTCTAAAATCTAAACGATTGGTTTAAATCATTTTAAATCCAATATCATATTTTATGTATTCAATTAATTTTATTTTCTCCGTGGTTTTCCTCAACTTTTATATTGAATTAAACGGAGCTCTTTATTGGAATAATATCTATTTTATCTTTCAACTTGTAGAAGTAGTCTAGTTTAACTGGTCACAAAATAGTTTTTTCATGTTATTGTGCTACAAGATTAGAATTACTAGTTTCAACTTTAAAAAAATCTGAGAAGGAATCATAAATTTTATTTAAAATTCATTTAAAATTTAATATTATTTTTTACGCGTTCATTTTATTACGCATGACATTAAGGATTTTCAAAATTTAATGAAATATGAATATGGGTACCTATATAATTAAAATAGTCCTAAGAAATTGTGTCACGTAGTTTCAAACAATTTGAAACAAAAAACTATACGTGAGACCTTAGAACTTGTATCTCAGGGTGAGTGGCGCATTTGCGTTGTGGATGTCTATGGGCTCCAGTAACCACTTAACACCGGGTGGGCTGTGAGCTCGTCCACCCATCTAAGCAATAAAAAATAAACTATAAAAAGATTTATATATTAAGCTAGAGGTGTTATTTAGGTCATAAATTCACAAAGAAATACTACAATATAGGTCTGTCATAACGGGGAAATAGAATTACGAAATAATAATAATTATGAATCCAAATACCTACCTACCTATACCTACATTTTGTTTTTAGGCTGAATTTAAACTTGCGTTTATTATTTGAAATTTCAAATTTTCCGATGTTTTGAATACGTTTTTGTGATTACGAATAATTGTTATTTGGAGATTTCTGTTCAGCGATATTTGAATATTGTTCTAATTACCGTTTAATTTTAATTTAATATATTTTTATTTTATATATTACTAAAGGGGGTACACCTCACCGAGTGTGGAATGATATAGAGGTGGAAGAAAGCACAGTCTTCTTACGGGTGAAAGTTTCCCTCGAACGTGGGAATATCTTTGCTATGGAAAGCGTAGAGGATCTGTGACAGGACCATTCCCTTCGGAACGCCGGCCTTGACTGAGCGCACTGACGATTTAGAGACCGCGACGAGGTAGGTTCTGCTCTCCAGGTAGTACGCCAGCAGTCACACTTAGGCGTGCTGAAGGTCCGTTTCCTGCAACAACTTGTAGACCAGTCCCGCGTGTCAGACACGGTCGAAGGCTTTCTCGATTTAGAGTTATACCGGTCCGCCAAGTAAAGCAGGACACGGACGAAATGCAGCGTTTTCGAGTGACCGCTACGAAACCCGAACTGTTCTGGTCCAAGAATGATGTGCGCCCACATATTTCTCAGCAGCAGCCGCTTTAATAACCTGCCTATGTGTGACAGCAGAGTGATCGGAAGATAACTAGAGAGCCTTCGCCTAACCTTGCCCAATATCCCGGGAAATGGCCTGTGGACAGAATGAACTTAAACAGTCGTTTGATACCAGACACGATCACTCCAGGAAGGTGGAAAAAGGCTTAGGGGGGAATACCGTCCTCACCGGACGCCTTGCGCTTCTTAATCGCGCATCTTAACGCGCTAAAAAGTTTTCAGTATAAAAATATCAAATCTTTTAGTTTCAATTAGGTACTCTGATACAAGTAACACAGTACTATGACGGCTTCATAAAAGATATATCGGGATTGCAAAATAAATATTTTGAAGACGTCGTGGCCTAAAGGATAAAACGTCCGGTGTATTCGTATGTAGCGATGCACCGGTGTTTGAATCCCGCAGGCGGGTACCAATTTTTCTAATAATATACGTACTCAACAAATGTTCACGATTAACTTCCACGGTGAAGGAATAACATCGTGTAATAAAAATCAAACCCGTTAAATTATAATTTGCGTAATCACTGGTGGTAGGACCTCTTGGGAGTCTGAACGGGTAGGTACCACCACCCCGCCTATTTCCGCCGTGAAGCAGTAATGCGTTTCGGTTCGAAGGGTGGGGTAGCCGTTGTAACTATACCTTATAACTTATACCTCGAGGTGGGTGGCGCATTTACGTTGTAGATGTCTATGGGCTCCAGTAACCACTTAATATCAGATGGGCTGTGAGCTCGTCCACCCAACTAAGCAATAAAAAAAAAAAAAAAGTTTATTACTTCTGATCATCAGACCATTAAAATATGACACTTGAACAATTCATAATTTTTTCTGTTGTAGTCTACACATTTGCTATTTAAATATGTATACATATAAATATATTATTAATAAGTATTAATAGTGTATGTTTTAAATATGCATTTGCAAGCCAGCTATTCAGGTCTAGACTTGATTATTACAACAACATTTTTCAACAATAATTTTGAATTAATTTTGGCTAATACCACTTTTCAATCGTCTGTCAGGAATAAAATTCTCATTAGATTAATTTTACTGTCACTAATTCGTATCCTGATTTTCGATTAAAGCCTCACCATTCAAGAAAAGGGTTATCATTCATTAAAGTGAAAGTCAAATCAACTTACAACGTACACACATAATTATTTATATTATATAACATTATACATCAGGTGGGCTGTGAGCTCGTCCATCCATCTAAGCAATAAAAATAATAATAATAATAATGATATATTTACAAAATCTGTAACTTAGATTATGTGTTTTTTTCTTAACATATCTTAATGTTTTCACACGTAATCGAATTTTATTAGGTTAGTTTTGTTTGACGTCCAAAGTCAATAATCGGATGATCCGGCACAAAGTATCACCTACTTATCGCCGCTCACAACCACGGTGTGAATGGGGCACACACACACAATAGCAACTTTCTTTCCAATTTTATTAAGCGCATCGCTTCTGTGTTTGTGTGGTCTGAATGATTTGAAGGCGCAGTAGTCAAGCAATTCATTTGAAATCGACCTTGTGTCGCGGTGGATGGCGGAATTCACGTTGTGATATTATTATCTATGACTACCGGTAATCACTTCACACCGGGTGGGTCGAGCTCTTCTATCTATTTTGGGCAATAATAAATATGACATGTTATTTTTTTTTAGAATTTTAATATATTTATTTATAATAATTATTAATATAATTTATGATTTTAAATGATGTTCGTGTCTTGAATGTTTGATGGGTAGAGCCTGTTTTCGAACTAAATATTATTAATGAGTCGTCTTATGTACTAACATACATACACCGAGCATCCAGGGGTCGTGCACTGCTAGTTCAAGAGTTTTAAGATGTCTTTTTTTTTTTTTTGTCGATTCAGCCGAATTTTATTGTTCCTTGTTATTTTATTAATCCCTATTATATAAGTGTTTGCATAGATAAATAATTATTTAAAAAATAATATCTTAACGACTTAACGACGATTATAACTTAACGAGAACAAAGATATTTTTAATCATAAAACTTTAAAAATCGTAAAAGTGTGTGCTAATTAACTTAAAAGCTATAATATATTTGTAAAAAGTAGTTCCTAAACTCCTAACTATCAAGAAGTAATATATGATCTCATGTCATTTCAGAATGCGAAGTGTATAGATTTGATAGTCACTATTAAGCTGCTTACCCGATATTGATAAAGCTCCGTTGTAAACACCTATAACCAGAGGTAGTCCACTGCCACTCTCCTGCTCCAAAAAGAAATTGTGAAAGAGTATTCCGAATGCATTCGAAGATCCAAATCCCAGCATCTAAAAGAGATGAAGAAACTGATAAAATTAATTTACCATTCTAATTAAAGTATATTTATACATAAAGAGGACGAGGTCCAATGGCAGCTTTCAATGCTCCATAAATCATTTGAGGCTATTGCGTAAGGGCGAATTTACATTACGAAATTAGTGGCATGAAATTAATTTCGTGACATTAGTTTTACCAACAGTTTCACGTGTAATGTAATATTTTCGTAATGTATGCATTAATTTCATGAATGCAAATAAGTTTCGTGCCCTGCGCGATTTTTTGGTGAAATTAGCGTCATGCAACTAATTTCATAGTGTAGACGCGACGTGAAACTAATGCTACTTCGATAAGGCTATGACTACCCCGCTGACTAGGTAGATGACTAGGCCGCTGACTACTCCCCGAATCCTGATCACGCAGGAGCCAGTCACCGTCGACGCCCTAAACACGTCCTTACGGATCCATCAGATCCAATAACCTTTGCATTAGACGCCTTCAGCTCTAACACTAGGAGCAGGCTTAGGGACTTCGGTAACCGTATTCGTCGAACTCGACAAAGAGTTCGCCGTGCCACCTAACCCATGAATCAGCTCGCTGAGTTTCTCGCCGGATCTTCTCAGCGGGTCGCGATTCCGATCCGGTAGTAGAATCATTCGCGAAGCAGCTGCTCTTGAGTTGTTAGGTCTCCTTCGGAGGCGCTCGAGTAGCTGTTAGCAAATCCCACCCCTCCTGGCTGAGTCTTTGCTCGCCCACCTGTCCTGGTGAAACTGGAAAGGCCTCCGGGCCACAAGTAATCCTTCAATCATAAAAAAAAAAGAAACTAATGTTGCGAAGGGGCCTGCGCTGTGCGGACGTGTGTATTGTTAGCTCGCGCGCGCTTCAAGCGTTGAAAATGGCTAACCAACGATGGAGTACAGATAAAAATATAAAATTCATTAATGAATATCAGCAACAAGAGTGTCTCTGGGACCCTACACCTACAGTAAAGAATCAAAATTATTTTCACTCATTCGAAAATAGCTTTATAGTTCTCAGGATCTTCATCTGCTAATTCAGAGACCAACTTCATTGCACCTAAATGCCTTCTTGTTAACCATCCTCGAATCTACCAACGTCCTTTTTTCTTGATAGTCTTTTTTTAAGTTTTTAGGTATATAAGCATTTCTTTAGTTACTATGAATATAGCAAAATATAGCTTTGATGCTGTTGGCGCCATGGTTTCTGCGATACTGTGGATTTCAGGACACTAATTTTTTTACGAAATTATTTTCGCATATTATTATATCTAAACTACTTTCGTGAAACTGAGTTCAACATGCATGACACTAATTTCGTAATGTAAATTCCGGATTTAAGGAGCGCGTTACGACCTGGCATGTGACGGAAGCATTGTCCTGCCCATTTATATTGCATAGCAACTCATGCATTCTATGTAGTTTGAAATTTATGCCATAGCTATTGCACATCATTAGAATCAACTAATAGCTGGACATATTTAGAATCGATACGAATTCAGATCTTATCTGTCAAGGGGCATTAAATCATACCTTTTTCAAGGGACACCCGTTGTTATTGAAACTTCGCAGCCGTATTTAAGTTGCGATATATATGGGAACGGTTTACCGCTATGTGAGCCAAAAGCTCTGATGCCCATTTACGCTGATAGCAGCAATATAGCAAGAAGTACCACTTCGGCTTATCACTACAAAATTTAGAATCCCAATAAATTATGTATTTCATTGCCAGGGAAAGACTGCCCTTATTTCTTGCGATGTCTCCCAGCCAAATATGTAATTATTATCATCAAATTCGTTTATCATATCATATATTTTGAGCCCGCAAAGATATAATAACCTAGCTAGAAGTATTTTTTTATTTTAGGTAAATTACAGCGAACGTGTTCTTTATGATATACCATTTCAAAAATTGTTTAGGATCTATTATCGTGAATGAATTGTGGTTGCCAATGGTAATAAACATAGTTATTGGGTATTTAACGCCATGTCAAACACGAATTTGTATGAAAATGATGATGGAATTCATAAATTTTAATTGGAAGTCTGTTCTGACATCCTTAAAATTATAATTTAAAAGACTGTTCTGAACAGTTTACATAATTTTGTAATTTCCCGTCAAATCTATAATTTGAAGCAAAATTTAATTGAGTTAATTAAAATGATTCGAAAAAATCTACATCAGATATTAAGGATGACAGTTTCGCGGAATCACCTCAGCTACACCACCAGGGCGGGTGCATTTAGTAAATTTAAGGAAGTCTTGTTAGGAACACATAAACACTGAAAACTGAATATGACTAAGAATTCTTAGTCTTATTACTTGATATAAATACATCGGACATACAAAGCTAACAAAATATTTATGTTTTAGTAATATAAAACAAAAATTGTTTATAAAAAGGAACGTGGTCATTGCAATTGTGTTAGCAAATTGACATGCTCTACTATATAAAGAATCGCCCCTCTGACGCCAGTGCTCGTCTCGAATTGGGCCCGGTAACTCCATTCCCGCCGTAAATTTTTTTTTACCAGCCCATACCCTTGGCCTCAAATACCAAGTACTTAGGAGTCACCCTCGACAGAGGGATGACATTCGGTCCTCACGTCAGTACGCGACCAAGCCGCGTTCGACACTACCCTATGATCAGCAAGCGAAGTAAATTGTCCCTTCGTAACAAGGTGACACTCTACAAAACATGCATACGTTCCGTCATGACCTATGCAAGTGTAGTGTTCGCTAACGTGGCCCGCATGCACATTAATCCTCTTCAGCCGGTCATTGTTCTTGTCGAATTCGTCGCTTGCGACCAAGGGCTCAGCGAGTAAGCTAACCCACAGACACGTTTCTCGCCAATCTTCTCAGTGGGTCGCGTTTCCGATCCGGTGGTAGATTCGGCGAAACATGGCTCTTGCTAGGGTTCGTGTTAGCAACATCGTCAGGTTCGAGACCCGTGAGTTCACCTACTAGCCCGGCGAGCTGACATGATCTCTCTAAACCACCAGCTTAGGGGTAGGAAAAAAAATCCTCTTCAGCTCATCCAATTCCGTTTCTGCAGGATAGCCATTGAAGCACCGTTGTGCATGAGGAATGTTGGTCTTCACGAGGATCTAAATTTAGAAACGATGCGTAAAAATAGAAAAAAAGGGTCAGACCGCTAGCACCAGGCTCTAGATGCGACACGATAACCCACCTATTGTGGTTGCCGCTAAATTATAATAATATGTCAGACCCTGGCAACGGGACAACGCAAAGCCGCTGTCACCCAAAACATGTCTTGTCGGTTTTATTTATTTATTGCTTAGTTGGGTGGACGGGCTCACGACCCATCTGGTGTTAAATGGTTACGGAGCCCATACACACCTACGATCTAAATGCCACCACCCACCTCGAGATATGAGTTCTTAGATCTCAGTTTTTACAGTGCAACAGCAGCCCTGCCCTTCAAACCGAAATGGATTACTGCTTCACGGTAGAAATAGGCAGGGTGGTGGTACCTACCCGTACGGACTCACAAAATGTCCTACCATCAGTAATTTCGCAAATTATATTTTTGCGGGTTTCATTTTTATTACACTATGTTATTCCTTCACCGTGGAAGTCAATCGTGAACCATAGTCAAGTACGTTTAGAAAAACTGATACCTGTCTTCGGGATTCAAACACCGATGCATCGCTTAATACGATTGCACCGGACGTCTCATCCTTTAGGCCACGATGACTTTAAATCTGATCTTCTGGATTCGCTCAAACTCCTCATCGACATACATACGAACTAGACCATAGACACAAACCATCGAGCTTCTAAGTTTCGTCTGATCTTCTCAGGGGGTCGTGATTCCGATACTGTGGTAGATTCAGCGAAACAGTGCTTTTCCTAAGCCCAATGTTCGCAAATTCTCTCAAATTAAGCCCGCGGGCTTACGTACCGATCCACGTGTGACTGAAATAGCCAATTAGGCTGTCAGCGATTAGGTAGGAAAAAAAACATAGTGATGTGCCTTCAAAATCATGAATATGCGGAAGTAAAGAATAAATTAATTTAAATTAACTCACAAAGTTAATGGAGAAATATAATAACCAATTTAATGTACAGCACTTCCCGTTGATCAACAAATAATTTGTTAATTGTCTTTACAAAACGATGTTATTAGCATAAGGAATAAGCTTTTGTCGATGATTTAGTTAAAACGTTTTCAATATTTGTTTTCATCAACAATGCTTCTTGTCTAGTATACAATTGATATTATTGTAGTCCATTACACAAATGATAAACCATTAACGTCAAAACGTTTACAACGACATGTAATGGACACGATTAAGGTAATAAAAGGGAATAATTTCGATGAGAGCTTGGAATGAGCTCCCCTAACGAAATCTGCTTCAAATTGAATTTCAATAAGTTTCCCGAGCGTTGTGACATGTCTTTCTTCAAACGAGGCTTACGGAGAGTACTTAGCGGCAGGCTGCGGCTTGGCTCTGACACCGGCAATGCGCAAGTCCACGGTAACCACTCACCATAAGGTGGGTAGTATGCTCGTCTGCCTACAAGGGCATCATCATTTTATCATTTTTTGTTGCCTAGACTAGAGAAGGAGTATCTAGCCAGCCTGGCGTGAGGGTCAGTGACTCCCAGAAACATCACAATGTCAAAGTCTTCTCACTTTGAGATACGACATCTAAATTTCGGGTTTATTGTATACAAGCGGCTGATGAGCCCCTCAAACTGAGACTTACCTGGGTGGTACCTACCCGTGCGGACTCACAAGACGTCCACCAGTAAATAAATAAAATAATTTAAATGAATTGATCATTTACTTCCGCATATTCATGATTTAGAAGGCGCATCAATTTGTTTTTCCTCGAAATTCGCTGCCGGGGCAGAATTCATACTTCTTTTAAATATTACATAGACAACACTACACAACTGCCACCAATCGCCTTAGGATAAAACGTATGTCTCAATTACATGGGAAAATGGGAAATCATCAATC